TATAAGCTTCACGGAAATTACAGAACATTTCACTTTAGCATACATGACATACAAGTGTTACCCGCGCTAGATGTAAATATAAGTCAGCTTCCAAATGGTATCAGTTGTTGATAACTTATGTTTGGTAAAACCCCACGTCTGCCTGCTTTATCCAGAACTGAGAATGCTACCATGCCATCTTGGTAAAATTTTGCACAGTGACGAAGTTTATGTCTATCCAATAATTAAAAAAAAAAAAGATATCGAGCACGAGGTAATAGTTTGACAATTTGAGAGGAACTACAAAAGACATAACTCATAAAAAGCAAACAAAACAAAAAAAAACATTCTGTTTCAAGTTTTGGTGAAGACTGTAGCTTCCCAGTGTTTTCACTGTTTTTTTTCTTTTTTTATGCGGTTTTGGTACAGTTTTCGGTACTTGTCATTTGCTTCTTTTCCCTTTCCATTCTTTTTCAAGTCTTTGTGGATGAATCTAACAATTGAGTGCTGCATAAGGTAACATAAGGTAAAGGAAATCTATTTATAATAAATACGTTCACAGAAAAATGCGTTTTTGCTGACTTTTCTAGTTTTACCTCTTCTTATCATCATTGTTATCTTTCCTTTTTCTTTTTTGTTTCTGAGCATTTATCTTCTTCGGTTTTGGTATTTGTCACAATCGGAAAGGCCTCTCGATTTGCACATTTTGTTTGCATCGAGTCTTCCATTACACAACAACAGGGAATTTATGGCACATTTCGCATAGGGTTTAATACGTAAAGTATCCATCAAACAGCCGAATAGTCGCGAGAGAGCCCAGGCCGAAGAAATCGAAGCTAAGTTTTTCTTTTTCCCTAGCTTACTTTGCCCAATTTTCATTCTTTTAAAAATTCGAAATGACTTTTCCCGCCAATTTCATCGGTCGATCGCCAGCATGTACGCATCGACACAGCTTAATAAGATGCGGAAACTGTGAATTTCTTCGGAGGCCAGTTTACGATCGGACAACGACATCCCAACGTCAGAGTTCAGCACGTGGACATACTGAGAAAACGTCTACCTCCTTCTAACTTGCATTGTCTTTCAAAGGATGATGAGCTTGAAATGGATTATACATGTGAAACGTAAAAGGAAGAAAACAGGTTAAAAAAAATACATAAAACGGTTAAAGTAAAACAAAATCATTTCTATTTCAAGGAAAAAGAGTCTGTCAGCGACTTCTGAGCAACAGAAAACACCACAGGATTCAGAATATAACTAACAATTAACCAAGTGGCCCGAAAAAGAAAAACTGCTCAGAAATGAAAAAAAGGAAAAAAGAAGATAATAAAATGATGATAATAAGGGGCAAAAGAAGAAAAAAAACAGCAAAAACAAAATGCAAGTTTCGTGGGGAGGAGTTCCTCGGCCCCCAAGCCAGTTTGAGAGTTACTCCTTGTCCGCAAGCTCCAAATCATGCTCGGGGAGAAGTTATTCGGCCCCCAAGCCAGATTGAGAGTTACTCCTTGTCCGCCAGCTCCAAATCATACTCGGGGAGAAGTTATTCGGCCCCCAAGCCAGATTGAGAATAACTCCTATAGCGTGATTCGAACCCGCGACCTCGATGACCTCTCTTGCACTCGTTGCGCGCCTACGATTGCCGCTCGACCATCTCGAAACTGCGTACTAAATTAGTATAAATTGTCGGTGTATTGAGTTTTAAAATACCAGGCTGGGGGGGGGGGGGAGTGAGGAACTTTGTCTTACTGAGAGTGCAATTAAGCGTTTCCGGTCAAGAATAAAAGAAATAAGTTAAACAAAGAACTGAGAAAGCGATCTACACGAGGAATATTAACATATGTTGTAATGGCTGACGACTTCGTTTGCTGAAGCTCGTTAATGTGATTCTTCAGTATTGCATTGCACGTCTTTTACTGTGCATAAAAATCACGTAGTCATATAGGCGAATAGGCGTGTTTAATGTATTTTAATAGATGGACCAGGTTAAAAGGGACGATGGTCTTTAGCTCTTTATTGAGAACACTGACCTATATTTTATGTTGCATAATTTTGGTGTACAAATTATCCTTTTTATATAGATTGGGGAATCTTATCTGGCCCTTTTGGCTCCTATGAATCCTCAATAATGAAGATTGCAGTCCTTTTCTAATGACAAAATTTGCATTATCATTAAAAAGCTCTTTCTGTTCATGCAAGGATGTAAAGGCATTCGAGACTTCAACTGTATAAATCTGCAACTTGCCTCTGAACTGATGGCGTAAGAGTACCATGATTTATAAAAAAACGGGTCGATTGGTATCAGGCAGTTATGCCTCACAGAGGCAAAGAGAGGAAGTGGACAGTAGATTTCACAATTTTTTTCGCAGATTATTTCTGACCAAAAATACAAATTTCTTTCGTAGAGATAACCGATGTACTTATGTATTTAACCATCTTCCATTTTAAAGCGGGATTGACGCAGGCGACGTCAGCATATTTATCACTGACATTTCTGATTGTCGTAAGAAATTTATTTACGAAGTCATTATCAGAGAGAAAGGAGGTGAAAAGTTTCCAATAACTTGGATCAAAAGTAAGAAGAGGGTACCTTTGGCCAAACCTCCTCCCCTCAGTCTAACGACCAACAGGAGGGCCTTGAAGGGCGCCAGAAGCCATAGTCGAAGATAGGGAAGTTAACGTCGTGATTTAGTTGGCGTACACTCAGTGATAAAGGTGAGCTACTAAAACCATTTGTATCGGGTTAAGCCATAACAAATCGTAAAGCTGATGCGAGTTAAAACTCGACTTGATCTGAAGAAGCAACATTGGCATAGCAGGGTTTCGTTGGAAACGATTTCGGAAGATTAGCGACACATGACATTTTGCATGATTACGGAAAGTTAAGTTTATGTCGGAGATATGCTCCAGCGCGGATCCTCACGCAATCACGAGCCTATTTTAGTATTCTTTACATGGTGTATTTCACCGCAGTTTACGATCGTATATCTAATGTCAGAGTTCGGCGAATAGACGTACAAAGAAAGGGTTTAGCTTCAGCTCGCATTGCATATCGATTTGAAAACTGAAATGAATAATACAGAAGTAACGTGGGAGAAAATAAATGGAGGAAAATAGATAACACGGTTGCAGAAACAAAACCATTTCCAATTTGAGGAAAAAGAGTTTTTGCCTGCGACTTCTGAGCTACAGAAAACACTACAGGATACAGAAGATATAGCTGACAACAATGAAATCACGAGGGGGATATATACCGCATGGTAGAACAACATATAGTCACTTTGAAGAAATTTTACAGAGTGACTATATGTCGTTCTACCATGCAGTATATACCCGTACTCCAGAGGTTCGGCTAAGACCCCTTTGGTGCTTTCTTTATGTTGCCTAGTGGAAGTCATTAACCCATCATTTCCTTCGTGAGTAAAGCATGCATGAGTGTGAACAGCCCATTCGCTCAGTAACCTGCTTCAAGTGACAGATCAAATGCTTGCGCGGCCGTTGATTGTAGGCCAAGAGTTTGAGGTTACAGTGCCCGGCGAAGCTAACGGAGGAATGGGAACGAGAAACCTTAAAACTGACGGCGGCTTGTGCACCTCGAAAAATTCAGCCTTATTTCTTTTTATGTACGTCCTTTGAAATCCAGTGAAATCTCCCCCAGTCTTTGCTATGTTTTTTACTTTTTAGCTATAGTTGCCACTTGTTTGTTATTCTATCTTTATCCGAATTTAAAATACTTTGTATTCTCTTTCAAGTGAAAGGAGGCTATAACATCTGAAAAGACGATGATAAAACTTGAGACGTTGCTGTTTGTGAAGGCTATGCCTTTTTTCACCAATAGAAAGCCAAAGATATTAACCTTAAGCCCGTTCTTGTGGTGACATTAAACAAATATTTCATCGTCTGCGTCTTATTTTACACCGTCCCGCTTGTGAAATTCCATGTACTCGGGGTTTGTTCTCTATCAGTCCTCTTATTTTCTCCAAAAATTTTAACCTTAATTAAAAGAGTAGAATATGGATTTAGGAATATTTTCCTTATTAATCCTTATTTATTAGCATACTTTTTTTTGGAAAGAAGCAGGTTGTCATATATTCATTTTTTTATCGTTACTATTTTAGCTCCTAAATTTTAAAAGTCGACGTTATATCATGACTTCTATTTCGGAAACGCAAGGAGAGCGATGCTCCATTTTTCTCTTTTTTTTGTAAGCATTGTTTGTTTCGTCTTAAGGAGCTCTTTTCTTAGATCACTTTCTTACTGTGTGCGTCTTTTTGGGTCACTTGGGAATAGTCATGTGAGGTTGATTTTCAAACGCCCTGCAAACATATTCTGTACTTGTGTATCCAAAATAATATAACATTATAACATAATAGCCATAAACTAACACTTCTTAATTAATCGAGTGTATTATCGATGGAACAACGGGTGTCTCCGATCAAAATTCTGAAATAAATAGAAGCAATACTCATAACCAACTTTCTTGAGCAAATTTATCCGAAAGTGTCGCTGAAAGTCTTGGTGTCCTTTCAAACTGCAAACTTTACTAATCTGAATAAAGAAATGCCAAAGATGTAAGAAACTTGTGTCTGACAAACCAAATTCGAGTTTACACGAAATGATTTAATCAATAAACCTTTCTTTGGAATCTTTGTCGAAGTCCCAAAGGATAACTTGTCTTATCTTTCGGCCCAAAGATATCTAGCAAGAATCACAAAGTTTCGGTTGAAATTGATGCAGCTCCTGTGAACGTTTATAATTCAAATGTTTTGTTCGAATTCGTGCGGAGTTTCCGCTCGAACCCAAGCTCTCGCGGATCCAAAATTGTAGACAAGATGGCGATCATGACGACGGAGAGTATGGCGTATTTCAAAACAATATCCTTTCTCGAAAATGTCGATGCAAAATGTCGAGTATTTTTGATACGTCATCTATATGAATTAGCTCAATCCTCGCTGGCGAGGTCGTCTCCGATTTTTCTTTTGCACGCACCAAAGTCACAGAGGCTGAAAGTAAAGAATTAAGCTATGTCGTCGACTGCTTCTCCTGACTCAGGAGAAGACCTGGTCGAGCTGACTCCAGTTTTTCGCGATGGGAAAGATATACAGAGGAAATCTCCAAAGGTATGCGATCAGCAATTGTTGTCAACAAACTCTCAACAAGATTAAGCTTTGATATTGTTTTAATTGGTTTTCTTCCAATCTTTCCATGAAACACGATAAAACAATGAATTACGATTAATTTTGAAAACTCCCGTACGAACCATTCAATCTTGATTTCGCCTTGTGCCTCGTGTCATATCACAGTGTTCAATTCAAATCTACCTTCTGCAAACCTCTGTAAGTTTTCAGCACTAAGTGTACTGGAAGTTGAAAACGCTACTTCAACTGTAGACTCCGGAAGGTAATTGATAAAACATGGTTGTTATTTCCAGGTGTATGATTCAGAGCTCTGCATGTTAGCCTTACCTCCAGGAGAGCATCAGCTACTGACGAGAGTAACTCAATATCTCTTTACTTGTGGAATCATTCCTGTTGTAGTCAAAAGCCCCACTGAAGCTCTTATACATAGCAGGCACTCCAAGTTTGTAGTGATAGTTTTGCCGGACAGTGATCCTACCCTGATCAGAAAAGTTAGGTTGGTAGCTCATCTCAGTCCTTTACCATAAATATTTTCAGTATTAAATATTGCTTATATTATCCCAAAGACTTTAAAAGTACATCTATTGCAATAGAGATGTTACTCCTTCTAAATTAAGTGGCAAAAAATTATTAGAGAAATATTACTCAATCAAAGTTGCAGTCTACAACCTTCCCAGGTAATTGACTAGGTAAATGTTAAACTTCATAATTAAGTTTTCCTTACAGCTTCAACATTCTGTGTATTCGTATTTTTTTTTGAATATGTGATAACTCAATAAAGTTATTCAGGAATTTGGGTTGAGCTTTCATTCCAGGTCAGCTGATGGCATCAACTGTCAAACACCAGTGATTGTCATTTCAGTGGCTGATATTTTACCAGGTAGGCTCTAAGTATGTTTCAAGAATGACTAGCCCTTTTTCTTCCTATAAGATTTGTGGATATATGAAAGACATGCAAAAGCAACCTTAAGATTCAGGAACTAGATTAGAAACAAGTGAGAGATTTCACTTCAGATATTTAGCATAATGATAACATAATGTGTACTTGTATAACTTTATTCGGGTGAGCCATAACTTTTTGCAAAGTTTTAGTTAAAGGATATAATTACCAGTAAGCTGTTCCTGATTGAAAAACTGTGAAACTGCCTGGTATTTTCTTTTTTCTTTATCCCATCTCTGCAAAAATTTCTCCCTTCATAGTGATGGTTTATGTGTTTTTCACAGGAAAATAGCGCAAGGGTGCAGTTTCATGGGTGATAAAATCTAATGATATCAAATGACAAGTATAGTGATTTACGAAATTTAGTTGGAGTAAACTGACAAAATTTACTCCAAGTGAAACTTTAGCCATGATCCTAACTCTTGAAAAGAACTAGAAATATGTTAAAACATTTTTCTTGACAAGTGGTTCTTTCCAAACAAATGGTCCCTGGTTTACATGTGTTCTTGGAATTGTCATCTCAGTTTATTATTTTTTCTTTAACAGAAAGCACTTTGCACATGTTGGGCAGAAATGAGATCCAAGAAGCAATCAACAGAACATCAGATCCTGAAAAGTTTGAAACTGATTTGATAACAGCCTTAAGTCATTTCATTAGGCAGACTCACCGTACTGGTAAGTGTCAGAAATATTTTTCTTTCATCTCAGTATGGCCTGTGAGCCCCCATATGACCATTCTGCAGGAGGTTGTTGCTTGACTTCAAATCTGTATAACATCACTCAGAGATCTTTGTGATATAATTGATGATGAAGAAGGTGGTTAACCCTTTAACTCCCAAGATCTTGTTAGCAATTCTCCTTACAGTCTGCCATACAATTCTTATAATGTTAGTTCGGAGAATTTAGTATTGGATCAACCAATTATCCCCTAATTGATATTTTACCTTATTCTCATCTCTTCTATGCTTGATATTGTATTGATATTGTAAGGAGAAATTCTGTCTTGATCACTCATGGGAGTTAAAAGGTTAAAAGAAAATTTTCTAATTTCAGCATGTCTGTATTGTTACTTAAATCTTCTTTAGAATCTTTTAATCATAAACAAAAAATTGAAATGATACATGTGCAGTAGAACAACACCCATCAGTTCATGTTGATTGTTTACCTCTGAACTGATCCCAGTTACAAGTTTGTTGTTAAAGTATTTGGATGAAGTAGTCATGAGAAAAGTATAATCCAAGATGATGTTCTTCTCTTATCCACAGTGGACCAGGGGCTGTCATTGTTACCCATGCCAGTCCCAGTCTGTTGGAGTACTGCACCTTTGCAGTATACCTCAGCTCTTGCGCACCCATTTGAACATCCAGAGGGAACAGGTTTGACGACTGGTTTAGTAAATTATGCACCAAGAAAGCCAATTCTTACTCAAATTCAAGATCTAAGTGAAAAAAGGTTCATAGACCAAGTTCAGGAATCTAGGAACCTATTGGTAAGTGGCCAGACTGTGACTCAAGTCATGAACCAAGGACTAGCTACTCCTAAAGCCCCTCCTTCTATGGGACTTGGTACTCAAGAAAATTCAGAAGCAGTGTTACCTGGTATTGAGACACTTTTGAATGCCATTCAAGTGGTGGAAGGTGAATCTCCAGCCACCGATAATGAAGCTCCTTGTTTCAAAAAGATCACAGCTCTTAATGCTCCTGACTCTGTTAAATCAAGGTTAGTTTGCGTGTTGTACTTGGTGCTTGGTGGTAAAAAGAAGGAAAGATTTCCGCAATTTTTTCCCAACAAGATGACCGCTGGGTTAAAACCGTTTTTTTTAAGGATCAATATTTGCATATCTTGAAAATTGGAAATATTTAAAAATCGCTTATTGCAATCAGCTTCACTTTTGAACGTCCTCAGTTATCCTTGTTTCCTGTTTCTTTTGTGTTCTTCTCCTTTAACAAGCTTAATTTTTTTGTCTTGTTCAAGTCAATTAAAATAATCAACGTACGTTGACTCGAGATTTCACAATTGTAAATACAACAGCATTGCAAAAATCTTATAGCAAAAAAATTTACAATTAATTTATTATAAAAGTTATTGTGACAATCTGTAAGTTTAGTCATCCCAGTTGCTTAAACGTTCTGTAATTTTAGTCATCCCGGTTGCTTAGACGTGATGTCATGGGGGGGGGGGGTATTGTTTCCTTTCCATGTCATCCTCTACCCCCTCTAATTGTTTTGCAAATTTTCATAACGATTCACTTTAATAACGCCACTGGGTCGGCAAAACAATTTTATCTATTGTAGGCGCAAGAATTTGTATTATCATTTTTTGTTAGTGTTGGTGTTTCATAGTTTCGTGTTAGGTGATTATTTTCTCGTCTTCCATTAGTGTCCTTTGTCAGTTACCAGTTTTGTACTTGTTATATTTATTTGCATATAGTATATATATTGGTTGCGCGTAATTTATTTGGTTAGTTGTCTAGTTTGGTTACCGTTAAATCTATCTCTGAGTTTCATGTTTTCTATTCGTCTTTTACCGTATTCAACAATGTGTCAAGTTTGTTCTAGTAAAGTTTGAAATACGAGTGATTAGCGTTTGCGGCTATATCTATCGTGACTGTCGTTTAATCTCAATATATTTTTACTTTCCCTACGATAGTGCGAACATGTAACGTTAGGGCTTGTCGAGGCTACGGTTTGTGAATAAGATAATTCAGCTTAAAAACACCAGTCCATTAAAGCAACAGCTAAGAAACTCGACTCGAAACAAATCACTATAGCCGCGATAAATTAATGTATGCTTTAAAATTGTGTACATATGTTCCTGGCAGTCGAGTCCGTCGCAGGGGGACTCGTCGATCTTCAACAGAGTCTCGCCCAAGTCCAAAAACAACTAAATCGGATGCTGAAGCAGAAGAATCGCTTAACGACAGCAAGAGTCCGTTACCAGCCTGTTTGGCCGGGAAGAAACCCTATTTCCTGTCACTCGATACCTACAGAGAGGCCTTGGCTGATGACCCGAACGCAAATCCTGTGGACAGGCACAATTCTAAAGAAAGGCACAGAAGGTAAGGTTTACTGTGTTTGATTTACCATCTTCGAGGTGGAAGAGGGAATATTGTGTATCTTGGGTTTTTGGACGATATGGTTCAAGACCTGAAGCAGTTGTCACTTGCAATATTACTATTATTATATTGCAGAATACGTATCACTAAAGCCGCAGAATTCTTCAAAGCAGTAATACCAGGCATGGAACCAAACATGGACAAGGCCACAGCTTTCCACCTTACAGTCCAGTATATGGTTTTCCTACGGAATGCACTTAGACAGCAGGATCCAACAGTCATTCCCAAACTTCACGAGGTTTGTGGCGACGCTGTCAACTAGGCTGTTCAAATGGTTTTATGGAGGTTCCGCCCCATTCACCCACTGAAGCAAAGCGTGTTCGCTTGTTTTTTTTTCCGGGGGGGGGGAACTCTCGCAAATTTCCAGTGGTAGGGGACGAAACCTCCAGTTACTGTTTAATTGGTGGAATAGATTATTATATTTATTTTGGCTAGTGGCTCATCTAACGGTGTTCGATTGATCAAGGAATCTTTCTATGCTTATTACTTGGGAAAATTGCGCCTCAGTCAACCAATACGATTTTTAAAAAACTCCAACATGTTCACAAGCGTTTTCCTGCACTTGGAGCAAGGTAAGTGCATTTACTTCGAGGGATTGTCCTTTAATGGACTCCCTGTTATATTGAAGAAATGTAAAATGGTTTCCGTGTTTACATATCCTGATGTAAACACTTGGGAGGTTGGGAGAACACGAGATAAGCGTAGGAAATCACGACGCGAAGCGGAGTGGTTTCCAGCTTATCGATTCTCCCCTGAATGGCTTTTGCGAGTATGTGTGGACAATCATTCGAATTCACAAATTGCTATAAATAATGGTAATTGAGCAGAGTGGAGTGCAATTTGTATAGGTAATCACATGATTTCGAGTGCAATTTGGAATAAATAAGCACGAGTAAATTTTTCAAAGACTAACAAAATTGCACGAGCCCGTAGGGCGATCGAGTCTTTGTTAACAAGTCTTGTTTATTCCAAATTGCACGAGAAAAATCATGTGATTACCTGTTAATAATATACATGGAAAAATACGAGATGGTCTATCATAATTAAACATAAGCAAAGCGCGCGCATCAAGTGCAAAAATTTTATTCAAACCGTGCGTTCGGTCAAAACAACTGCGTACGATCAAAACAATAATATGCAATGATATCTTCGCATCTTTAAGTTGCAAAAAGTTCAAAGTCCGAAACAGTTCAAGAAATTGTTCAACGAAAACCGAAATGGAATCGTCGTTTCCGAGGTTTAACCATGTTTGTTTTTAATTTCTTGGATCGTCGAAAAAGCCGGGTGGTTTTTTCGATTTCCTCGGCAATTCCTTCTCTAAACAGACTTTTTCCAAACCGACAACCAAAAAGCAGTACCTTTTTTTTCATTGTTTATTTTTTTCATAAAAACCAGCCGGCCATTGAATGGCTCGCAAATTTTCAAATTTTGTTGCGACATCCAAGGCTCGTATTTGATTGGCTCTCTGTGAGTTTCTTTGATTATTGACTAATCAGAATGTTGGTTTAAATAATGGTAATTAACCCTCTTCTACACTGAATTAACTCTCTTCTGCGAACTGAGTAATTTTTCCATGTATATTATTAGGTCTTAAATCATATGCGCAATTTCAAAATCAAACGAGCGTGCAGTGCGGGTTTGATTTGAAATCCCAAGTATGATATCAGACCAAAATTGCAGGACGCGAAGTTCAATTACCACTTTATTATATCTGTTTTGTAATCGCAAAATTTATTCGCTCGATTTTTTTTTAGTCTGTAGAAATATTTTATTGATCCAGTCAGTATATTGAGCTGGTTTGTAAAAAGTTGTCCCACATTTTCTTTTAATTTCGTTGATCTCTTTAAACAAGCCCTGAAATTTGATTGGTTGTTGTATTTTAGTGAAGATATCTCATTGGCTAGGAAAAGTATGCGATTTAGAGCTTAAAATGGTGCGATCTGTGAGTGAATCGCATCGGCGAGAGCCAATCAGATTGCAAGGATCACAATTGATTTCAAAATGGATGCGATAAAGCTCGATACGAACGATTAGGGCGCGTGAGAGAACGAGTTTTAAACGAAAGAGTGAGCCCATGAGCGAACGAACAGAAAACTGGAAGGGGGACAGAGAACGGTCAAGCAATTGAGCTTGGCTCACGCAGTTTTGACAAGCCTTGCACCTCTTTCATGAATAAACGTTTTTTTATGTGCATAAAAATAAACCTTCCAAGCTTCTTTTCAGAATAAAACTTTTCGAACATGCTGACAATACTATGCAAGCTACTTCGTACGTACAGAACAAAACAGGAATTAGGCCCGCCCTTCATAGAGCTCTAGTGAAAACAGCTAGTGAAACGAAAGTGTTACCTCACCGTTTGCCCCACCTAAGACTAGGGAATATCCGTGCGATGTAATATGGTGAAACTCTGTTTAAAATTTAATTCATGATGGTAAGGAACATTTTTTTTTGTAGGTGTAAAGGAAATTGCTAATAATACTAATAATTAGGGAGAAATATTTAAACACTTGGTAAAGCCTTAAATGTGTAAGGAGTTCCTTGATTTTAGACTGAGTACTGTTCGTTGAAAGGAGGTTAGTTCTCGAACAAATACTGTCCGAGCAGATTTCAGGCCAAACGGAGGGCATTGGTTTTCGCGTGCAGTGGTGACTTAAATAATAATTAAATTATTTGCTTCTTTCTTGCAGACGTTCAAACAGGAATGGTGTGAGGTGTTCAACATGAATGCCCCTCCCGATGCTAATTAACAGTAACAACGCACAAAAATTCCCAGAATTCTCCAAAGAAAAAGAGGAGTTTTTTTAACACCAGCATCCTTGGGAGTGATCTCTGTAGAAGCAAGTAGTTTACAATAACTTTTTCTTCAGATCACCAAAAACAAGAAATATGACAACGCACATTTAAAATCCTGAATTAATTTTTTTGCTTTTTAATTTTCTCCGATTAAAAATAAACCGCTCTCAATCTCCAGCCCTTTTTGATGTGTCGAATTTGTTCTTAAATCTCATTTAAGAATGTAATAATAACTTGATTCATTGCTGGACGGCAATGATGTACATAACATTTGTATTAAAAGCGATTGTGAAATTTTTCAGTATAACGTACGACAAATAATGGATTTTATCACCACGATTAAAATAAATCTCTCATACAGCCAACTTTTTACTAGTCTCCCTTGGTGAGTAAGTTTTTCACGATTATTCCTTTATCTTTATGCATAATTTAATGACCCTGCTCCATGCATTTATAATTAATGGCGTAGAAAAAGATAATTTGATAATAATAAATTAGAAATCCATACATGTTGCTTATTGGACTCGACAGAATTGGGAACATTCATAAGACATGTAGTAATGGAAGCTGCTTCACGGTTTATCCACCATGAAAAATTTGGCTTAAATAATTCTTGTTCATCATGTGTAACGATCGTTAACCCTTGAACTCCCACGAGCGACCAAGACAATCTCTCTTTACATTATCGACACAATGTCAAGCAGAAAGGTGATAAGAATGAAAAAATTGATCTGGAGATTATTGCTCCAATACCAAATTTTCCATACTTACATCATAAAAATTGCATGACAGATATTAGGGAGAATTACTTATGAGATCTTGGGAGTGAAGGGGTTAATTTTCCTCGTACTTAACTACCCTTGTTTTCTTTTTAGTTTATTCTTGTATCTTTCCAGGCGCTTGACCTGACTCGTAGTATTGCTATGATTAGCTTGATTTAACTCTCTTCCAAAAACCACCACAAAGCACTATTGATTAGAATTAGCCTTGTCTCCAGGCAACGAAAAATATATCACTAAGAAAATAATTTCAATAATTTTCAATTTGTAAATATCCCTTCCTTTGAGATAACATAAAGTGTCCTTCTCTACTCTCAACAGTGATCAAAGGCTCGTCACTGTTTCATTCTCAATAATTACTTCAGTGTCTCTTTTTAAAACAACCCCATCAGTCTTTGAGGATATTTTTTTAATTGACTTCGTCATCACGGAAGATTTCCTTCTCCGCTGACCAGTTCTTTTGGTTGGAACCAGTCCATCCATGTCGTCCATCATTTGTTCTAGGAACGCCTGGTCATCAGTTTCCATGGGAACAACAGAAATGTCACGCACCGCACGAAACTGACCGCAGTTGTTTAAGTGCTCGTTCTCGAGACGGAAGAAATTCCAAATAAAACGCCTGAAACATAGGAATTTGAGAAAAACACTGCCTTGAAGCAGACACTTCATTGTTCGTGAATTTTGAAAAAACTCCTTTCATCTTTCTAATTTTTAATTAGAAATACACATTAATATTCGTCATCTTTACGGTCCTAGTTCCTTTCCAGTTCATCAACCCCGTTATGTCTATCTTCGCATAGTATTACTTTCAAGGTTTCCTTTCAGCAACTGGAAATTCGTCTTACAATAACACATGACGTTACATTTTCACGCAAAAACTTTACCCACTGGTTGTTTTTTGTAATGCTGTGGTTCGCACTTCATTTACCGAAAGAAAAAACAATAATGAGTCACCACAGCCGGTATATGGAAATGATAGTGGTGTGTCAAACATCGGCGCCATTAACGCACTAAGTCACACGCAGTAAAGGTAGGAAATGGATTATAAAGGGATAACGTAAAAGTGCAGCATTGGGGAAAGGGAAAGAAGTATTGGACGCCGATTGAGTGAAGTGTACAGTGCATGATGGGAAGGTGGAAGGAGAAAATAGAGTCAGGCAAACTTTGATGTTGGGAAAAAAGTCAATCAATCAGGATTGATATTTGTTTGTTTCATTTTGCACAAAATTACCATTTGACTTACCTAAATACTTCGCACACTGATAAAATAAGCTTCAGAATCTCAGAATGAAATATTTCTAGTTCTCCTACAGAGACTGTTAGCGTCCATAACAACCGGAAAATCAAGTCCTCCACCATAGCGAAGTAGTAAAATACCTAAAAGGAAAAACGAAACAGTAGATATTAAGCTTGCCATGAGGCTTCAGCCGATGACTAAGTACAATGTAAGTTTCTTCTGTGTCAATGCTTCCTTTCATTTCTTGTTCAGAAAGCGGCAAAAATTATATAGACCTTGGAATCAAGTAGTTACAACTTGAATGACATGGATCACAACAGTCTTAGTAGATTCGTTTCGGTTTATCATCGATCCCTACTAAGTCTATAGCATGTTTCTTTCCACCCTTTCACTCTATGATTGACCAATACGTAATTTTTCCTAACAATATCACCACGCTATCAGAAAAAAACAGGTGATGAGAATCACAAATACATCGAGTAAATGGTGTTTTAACAGAAAAGAAAGGAAGAATTTTAATCAAGATCTTTGAAGTGAATGGTTACAGTCCGTGATAAGGAGCCATCGTTGCTGATGTTCTATCCTGCATCCATACACCCAATTGAGAAATCTCCAACTCACCTTGGATCTATAAACCGTTTCCTCTCTAAGAAATATATTTTCGCCGGACTTTTTATCTAGTAGGCCCCAGTCCATCTTGATGTCCCAGGTCAGGGTGTAACACGTGCTGATAATAGCAGCAATGATCCAGAGCATGAAAAAATGATCAGACCGAACAGAGTCTGATTTGGCTGTGAAAAGAAAATATCTACTATCATACACAACCTAAAAACCTCTCTCACGAAATTCACGTTATTTTGCTTTAGATGCACATTCTTTGCTTTAATAGACGATTTATCTCCGTGATCAACGAAAGTAACTATACCCTCCTTCATTATTCCGAGACACGGTGGTTCAGTGTTTACTTTCCACAGACTTGACCCGGATCAAATAATCCGGGCTCGACATCAGGCCTGGTTCATTGTGTTGTGTTCCTGGCCACACACTAAACTCCCACTGACTCTCCACACGAGGTAAAAATGTGAACCGCCAAGAAAACCAGACGAGATAGTCACTGTGGACGACGATTGATGGATTAGCATTCAATCCCGAAGGAGAAGCAATAATCCTGGTCGTTTCATGTTGCAGGAATCAATCACAGGGTAAGAAGACTTTTTCATACCCCATATTTCTTGTTGATTTGCATCAGGTGATAGCGTTCCCCGCAGATGCCTCTTAACCCACTAAGCGGTAACAGCTGCCAATATTTTAAGTTCTGATTGAATTTCCGCTAGCTGTGCTCTTTATACTCCAAGCCCCTGCTTGCAGCCGCAAGTCAGCGAAAAAGAATACATTTTATACCCATCACAACAAGAAGAAAAACGCCCTTACCAAGCGTAGAAAACGCCACCACGAAGAATGATGTGGAGTACTTGCCAGCGTTAACAAGATGTGGAAAGGCGTGTTTGGTGTCCCTGTACCGCCTCAAGCACTGAGCAAAACGGAACCAGGCAGGTAGGCAGGCAACGAGAGGACGGATACCATATAATGTACCATCACAAATCATATCTTCCGCTGAAATAAAATATATATGCACATATATGCGGAGTAATTCGTTATAAAACGAGGACAACAAAGCGCTTCTCTTTGAAGGAGTGCCAGAATTAGCAACCTCTTTATGGGCACGCTCAATTCCACCACCAACCTTCCGTTTTTAAGGGCAGGCTTGGTTACCGCGTTGCGTTCTGGAGCACCTTGACCTCAGTGCCTCTGTCAACTCACGAGAAATAACGAAGAGAAAATACAAAAATTCTGGATTGTCATTAACCTGGAATTTCCTAGACCTCCATCCAAATGGTAAAGAAATACTCCATATCACTTTATAACTCAATAAGAACCTGGAATGATCTTCAGCAGATGTAAGTCATTGAGCCCGTGAAGACGTTAGCCAATTAGTTGTAAAAATAGCTTTCATCATTGCCCTTTAGAATGACTGGAACAGCTTTTGGGGACATTGAAAAGAGGACTGACATTAAATTTATTTTGGAGAAAGAGTGGACATTTCAAGATACAAAAATATATTATATAACAACTACACTCACAGTTAGTCACGTGCCAGTCATGAGCGTAGAAACAAATAATGAACTGGAAATCAAGGAGTGCCACAGCTAAACTGTTAAGTTGATCTGCCAGCCAGAAATCGGCGAATCCCACGTGTTGAAAAGGAGCAGTAAAAATGCGAAACTTTAAAGAGAACAAATAATAAAATGTTACCATTCAGATAACTTCATTAAAATGGGTTAAGTTTTCCTTTCCGAGGGATGCTGTATTTTTGCAAATTTATTTTGATTTTGAATCACGTGCCTCAATTTGGCGACTTTTGGTTTGTGGGGATAGACTGAAGCGATTGGCCAATTAACAAATCTATAGGTGGCTGGAGAGTATGGAAGTGAACCGTAATCAGACGTCCCTAGATTTCAGTTTTCAGACGTTGGCAACTCTGCAAAGGTCGCACCTTCATAAGAAACCTTTGACCTAACGTGTCATGGCGCGACCTTTATGCGATCAGTTATGAAAAATTTTCAAACTAAATGTTCCCAACCCTAGCCCAAGCCCTCACTTTATTACCTAACAAAAGAGGAGAAGTGAACAAGAGCGAGAATGAACTTGACATTAAAGCTGGAATCTTCGATTAAATTCCCAATGAATAAAGCTACATTTGCACTCTGAACGATGAAAAAAATTTGCCTTAACTCACCAGAACTCTAAGAAGCCAGAAGCGTGCTTTGTAATAGCAGATTTTGAACGGATTGATCGTGAACAAGAATAGGAACGACACTAGAACCAAATTGGGAGAGAAGGATTCTATTCCTATCTTGTGACTAAACATGAATACCACAAGACTGATGGCCCACAGGACACCCAGCAACAGCGCAACCTGAAATGGTAAGAAACGTTTGTGTGAGAGGAAAGGGCCAATTATCAGTTCTCTAACTCAACAATAACGCAGGGCGACGCCATCCTTGAGAACTAAGAAAATAAATTGAACAGGATGGCATTTGCCAGCACATTTTATTGCAATGGCGGTTGACTAAGATTGTCTGTGAGCGATTATTTTGTCCCCTAACTCTTCCTCCTCCTTTTACAGAGTACATTCCTTTGACTAACTCGATTATTTTGTAATTCAGTAATTTCTTTTAAAAGTGAGAATTTTGTGAAACGTACAGCGAACAATTGTTTCTTAGGTGGAGTAGATGGCAGTTAGTGCTCTATGTGGGTCAAGCCACAAACTTGTTTATCAGGTAATTTAGTGTTAACAACTGGGTTGAAAACGTAAATTAGCCACCGTAAAGGGTAAAAAAGCTGACGTTTCGAGCGTTAGCCCTACGTCATTAGTGATTAGCTAATCGCTAATGACGAAGCTTTTTTACCCTTTACGGTGGCTAATTTACGTTTTCAACCCAGTTGTTAACACTAAATTACCTGCTATACTCTCCCACCGACGCAGCACCACAGTTTCTTTAGAAACTTACCCCTTTATTCACAAACTTGTTTATGTCGACCAGGAGGGCTTCAGGGACATGGCAGAAACATAATGATTTTAAAAAGCCTTGGAATTCTCTTTTTACTACTCTATCCCTAACAGGAGTAAATGAGATTTGATGTTCTATTGGGTAAAGGCGCAAAATTGCTTGCGTCGAACAGGATTTGAGCCAGACGTCAGAAATGTAATGATTTCAGAAAGCTTACTCTACCTCTAACAGATGTTGGTAACTGAGGTGGTCACGTGGGTCAAGTTCAAATATGAGCACGTGATTAACACCAGCTTGGCGCCAGCCCCAGGTATTCACGGCCAAAAGAAAAGTGACTAACACAAATAGGAAAACTCCGCGGTAGATACGTATGGCAATGTCAAACTCTCCACTGTGATCTGTAAAGAAAGCTGGAGAAAACAATATCAAGACAGTTTTTCAGGAAAGTTTTGTATGAAATCGTCTCCTAAAAATTTATTTTTTAAGGAAGGTTTTGAATGAAAGAGTCAAAAGTAAACCTGATTTGATATAAGGCTCTGTATGTAATAGGGAGTATTACATCTCTTGAAAGTTGCATTATGAACTCTTACCCGTAACTGTAGCAACGGAAATAAGCATCAGGAAGAGACCAGCTAAGAATCCCACTCGAAATGAAACCCAGTTTCCATGCTAGGGAAGGAAAAAAAAAGAGATCCACAACAGTCATTTCCTCTCTTAATGAAAGCTTTGTCTAAGCAGGTAAAATATAAAAGAAAGAGCAAATATGGGGTAGATTCAGTGACTAACAAATTAAGTTGGGGGGGGTGGGGTGGGAATATGGTTAAAAGGTACATCACAATACCATTGAGAATATGACAAATCTCCCTTTTACTGCTCTTTTGATGCTTGATTGTATAGAACATGTTCTCACAACCATAGTGCAAGGCATGATCAGTGTCAAGTACCTTGACTCTGATGATGCCTTCTGCTCAGGTTGTGAAAGGTTCATCACTTTCACCAATATCACTTGTTTTCAGGACTATCCTCACACTAACAGTTCCACTACATCTTTTAACAGTTATCCCCTGTTTCAAAACCTGATGTTTTGCTAGCACAGCAATTTGTATCATTTCCTCTTTTTCATAATTTCAAGAATGTAATAGAGTCTTAGTCAAGAAAAAGTTAAGATACATTTAAAGTCACAAACACAACAATGGACATTGCGTTGTGTGTAACATAACTTACCCTAAGTTCCTCTGCCAAAGGAGGAACTCTCAATCTGTTCATGGCTTTAGAGCGGTTTCCATCCTCAAGTTCAGATATATATAATTCCTGAAAATTTATGGCAAAACAAAATAAGCAAATTCGACAGAACTTGATCTCCAAACACAGGTTATTTTTTAATACAAAGAACTCTTGTTTAAAGTTTTAATAATGGGAAATTATTAAAATTTATATTCTTGAGACTGCTAAATTAAGTGCTCTGAGGAGAATAATACAACAAGTACTCAAACTCTCACCTCAGTGTTTAGAATAAGCTCATCTACATGTTTATTAACAAAGAAATCAGCCACCTCCACTTTTTCTTTCCTGTACTCAGCACCATTAGTAGTTTCAAATAGCTAGAAATGACACAAGTTAAAAAAAAAGAAGGAAATGACAAGGAAAAAGGATAAATGATTTGCCTCTAAATATATCCACTTGTTTTCTCTGATTTGATTACCTTCAAATAAGATAGATAGATAGATATATATATAGGGAGTCTGCAAGTCGATTTTTGTGTGGAACAGTGCTCAATACGTTGAGGCAGAGTAGAATAAATATTTTAAGAGGAAAAAAGGATGCAACCACATTTACCCAGCAAGCCTGTTTTGTGAATCGCTTCACTCTTCAGGGGTTTAATGAAAGAATATTCATGTGACTATCGTGTATTTACTAGGAAAATTTACATGATACGCAGTAAACTTAAAAACTTAAAAAAAAAGCAACAAAGCATTGCTACACAACAGCTGAACTTTAAAGTTTTTAAGTTTACCGTGTATTATGTAAATTTTCCTAGTATATACACGATACTCACATGAATATTCTTTCATTAAACCCCTGAAGAGTGAAGCAATTCATGAAACAGGCCTGTCGGGTAAATGTAGTTGCCTCCTTTTTTCCTCTTAAAATATTTATATATATTTATATATATATATACATACTATTGTATTATTAATTAAAATATATATCTTATTAGATGTTTTGGTGTGTAGCCCTATAGGCTCTTCAAAGAGAAGAGTCTAGTGAATGTTCAGTACCTTATCATGTTTCTTGAGAATTTTCCTAAATCCAGTAAAATTAAGTTGCTGAAAGTTGAATGAAAGTATGCTTATCAAACATGATCAAAGTGCTTAGTGACATTTTGGTGTCATCACCTCAGCTTATTCAAAGGTGTCCCATTAGTTAGTAAACCAAAAAAAAAAAAAAAACATAATGTCAAATATAACACAAATCAGTAAGCATATGTCTTTTTGAACAATATCAATCAACCCATAAAAGATAATAAAACAATAAAAAAGATAATGAAAACCCATGAACTCTTAAAAAAGGAAATTAGGTACTTGCAATAATTGTTTAACTGAAACATAATTTTACCAAACAGGGTCAAGAGATCATACAAAATATGAGACCATAATACCTTGGAGTGTTGTGCTTTGACCAGCTTTCAAAAGAGTAAGTAGGGATAGAAAGGACAAAAAAATAGGCAAAGTGGCAGAAATAGTCAAAAACAACTTTGATTTCTTCTCAACCTTAGTGATTGACATGTAACTTCACCCTATAGCATCTGTTTATTATCTAAATGTCTTTTTGAACAATATCAAGTAAATGGGTAATGACAACATTGAAACTTATCACTAACAGGTAGAAGTTGTTACCTTGATCTAACTCCAGTTTACACTAATTTACTTGGAAATAGGGAGGATTAACAGTCAGATCTTGGGTGTTATAGGGTAAAAGAAATATTTCCAAAAAAAATTATCTTGCAGTAAATGAAGCCCTCATAATAACTTCCTGAGTAGTTTCTAATGTTCATAGTTTCTAATGTTCATAAAGCTTACACAGAACCCCAAAACTGTGAGTTAAAAGTAGTTTCTTGTGTAAATGTTTACCTGATAATTTTGTAGAAGAACTAAGCTAAGATAAAATTCCCCAAAGGCAAACTTGAGATGATTGACCTTCTTCTTTCTCTTGACCTTGACCTTTTTGCTGGGTTCAGGTGCAAGTGTCACTTTTTTTGATGTTGCCAGAGTGCTGAGGCTGGGTCCTACTTTAAGAGAGCCAGCCATATGAAGTTCATTTTTGAGAGCTGTGTACTTACGACCAGCTTCAGCAATCTTCTCTTCAAAGGGAAATGTCAAAAATTGGATCAGTATGTCAGTATCTGAGCAGCTGTGTGGCTACCCCTTCCCCTAACCCAACATTAAACCCTACCTAGTTATCAGACTGTTTGACTGTATGGTGGAATGGTTACCAAAGGATCTTAGATATGTAAGACAGCAAAGTAGAGAAAAATGTCCCTTCCACTGAAAAACTGCTAAACACAAGGAGTACGAAGCATTTCAACTTTCAAGTTTGCTCCACAATATCATTTCATGATTCCATAATTTTCTTTACACCATATTTATCTAGGGACACTATAATATGCTATAAAGAAGGTACCTACCTGCAAAGAATGTATTAATTTTTTCTAGTTCTTCATCACAGTACCTAAACCACTGCTCTTCAAATGATGAAAAATAGCCCTGTACAACTGAATCAGGGTTTTCTGCAAGAAAAAAGACACTTGATATTAGTATAAATATGTTATGTAACACACCACATTTTAACAAATACTTCTTTAAAATTGTCAACTATAGTTGTTTGGAAAATAAAGCCAAGTAAGAAACTCAGGCTTAACAGAATCATCAACTATTATAACTACAGTTGATGATGTTTCTTATAACAAAATACAAAGTTTATGGTCTAAGAGTATCAAATTTTGGCCATAAAATATTATTAAACTTTCATAGAGTATATTGCAAACCCATAATCACTTGAGCCCTAGGTTGATTTAATAGCCCAGTTGGTTAGAGTGCTACACTACCACAACAAGATGGTCATGGGTTTACATCCTGTGGTCAAGCTTTATATTCACAAAGTTATTAAAGTTAATCAATTGATAATGGTAATAGGAGCAAGCCAAGTCCAATTTGGTCTGTAATCATACAAGTGATTAACAAAATTGGATAACTGAGAAGAGGGAGACTGATTTTTTAATCACTAGTATGATTATGGTCAGAATTGGACAACATAAAGCCCTGTTACCAATTAATCAAAACTACAACAAAATTCAAGTTAGAAACTGGACATTGGTTATACATTTTCATAATATCATAAAATGCAAGACAACAGCACATGCAAATGAAGCATTCTGTCCACTTACAGGGGCATGACATGTTAACTGTCCCTTTAACTGTGCTATTACACCATCCAATAACAAGCATGACAAGTTCACTGTCCTATTAGTGCTCAAATCAGGCTGGTGATAACCAATCAAGTTTGAGAATATTATTTTGTTATAGTTTTGATAAATAATGGTAATAGGACCCAGTGGAGTTCAATTTGGTCTGTAATCATACGAGTGATTAACAAAATCAGACAACCTTGAAGCAGGAGTCCAATTTGTCAATCATGCCTATGATTACTGGCAGAATTGGATGAAATGAAGTTCTGTTACCAATTAATCATAACCACTATAATTAAAAAAAAAAAAAAAAAAAAAAAACATTTAGGACAAACATCTCCATCAGGGATAATGTCTACAGTAAAAAATTTACAGCCAACTGTCCAATTACACTATCCGATTACAACTGTACAGAGTGATTAGTGAAATATAGAGCAGCTGATGCACCAATCATATTTGAGGAAATTGTAATGGTGATAATTATATCATTAATGGGCTCAGAAATACATTCTTACCATCCTTCTGGGGCAGCTTTTCCAGTCCACCATAAAGTACATCCTTAAGTTGCTTAAATTTGGAACAAAAAATGAAACACCAAAATGACAAATTCACTTTACTTAACCTGTGAAGCCCCACAGGAAACTGATGAAATGTAAGCCCCCACTATGGAACCCAACTGGGACCACAGGTCTAGATCTAAATGACTTGTTTATTGAGTTCTCACATTATCACTAAGAACTCCCACTTATCAATAACCACATTAAACAACTTCTTAAAACTATCTTATGAATAGACATATTGCAATATGCATGCTCCCATAAAACTAGAAATCTTCTGGAACACAATACACTGCCATGAATAAATCATTCCAAAAATGCATGTGTATCTAACATTTTTTTTATAGAAAGGATAATGTTTCATCAAAGAGACATCCACACGTCTGTACAAGTATTGAAAATTTCTCTCAGTATGCAGTTAGGAATTTGTACAACTGCACTTCTTCAGCTAATCAATCTAATGCATTACATTCAAAATGACTTTTCTGCTCACTTATTTGCTCATGACAAATTTATTTAACTTCATACACTTTAGGAGTCAAATGGTTAAGAAGGCAGTCAATGAATCCCAGCTTAAACTCAAGAAAGGTGTGCACACCAAATAAGAAAAATCCAGTCAACAAGTTAACATGCCCACCTTACACTGATAGTTTCAGTTTTATATATTCTTTTCTATGTTCCGTTATTGTGTATGTAAATATTGTTCATTATGTAAGTTTCTCTAGATTTTTACAAAATAATGGAAACAGTTCTTTTCAAATTACTTGGCAACTAATATATATGTGAGACATCCGAATATATTTCTCAGATTAAAATTTGTGGTCTTTATAAAAAGTGTGAAGTACTTCTTCAGAATGTAAGAGAGACCTGTGAGATCAGAGTCATAAATACATAGGCAAGTTTACAGGTTAAGGCAAATTCCCTACTTATTTTCTAATTTTAGCTCATTACTGAGCACAAAATGACGTGCTGATCTAATAAAGCCGAATTTAACTAAGGTTTTACATCTTGATATTTCTCTGTTTCTGTTCATGATAAGGTGTAACAGGGAGTAAAATATGAAAGAGAAAAACTATTCAACCGAATATAATATTGAACCATCTACAATCACATCAAATTCACGTCTTTTTGTGTGTGTGTGAAATTCGAAAACACTTTTATGCTTACTAGTAACGTAATCAACAGTTGATATTCTAACTTGTTTATTTGAAATTATTTCTGCACCGGTGAACAAAATTACAATCGTCTAAGGGAAATTTATGCATGCACTACTAGGCAAGGTTGTCGGCAAAGAAAAACATCCCTTTGTTAATGTGGGCATAAAGAATGATTCAAATGATTCAGTCTTGTGCTACTAACAACAAAACATAACAAAAGTCATGTAAGTTATCTTTAGGATAATCTCAATACACGTATCATTGTTCTCCAAATCTACTATTTTCAATTATACCGGAACTTTAGAACTAGACTTTAGACAGTTGTGATAAACAAATGATGACTGTGGCTGTAAGATAACAAAAATTTCTCAACTAAGCTAAGCTTTGAAGCAATCAAAAAATACGGTATTAATGAAATAGTTGTACCTCATATCTTATGTATTGGCTTCGCCATTCCGGCGTTATATGAGCACCAAGATGCTCTGTAAACTTCATGTGTATCAAGCAAAGTCATCAGTTACACATGGTGACCTATTAATGCTCAGGGCCATTTCGACGTCAAAATGTAAAAATAAACCTTAACTCCCTCATAATTAAAGATGGCCGACTATGTGAAGTGTTTCCGGTATTTTCCGGCCATGGAAAGTCATTCCCAGGTTTCCACGGTTTTAATATCAAATGAGGAAAACTGGAACGTAAGTAGTAATCCAACATGGCGGCAAGGGATGCGCTAATTTTCGTGAGAAGTGAAATGACTGGTGATCAATGATTTTTTGGAAGATGTCGTCGTTGAAGTTTCTCTCTAACTGTCGATATATCGCGTCACCATTTACGAATGTACAAGATCTTTCCTGGAGGCTGCTTATGAGGAAATTCGGTGTACATCTGTGCTTTACGAATGCTGTGAAAGCGTTGGACGTAATACAAGATGCTGAAAATACACGAGACAATTTACTTGGTATTTCAGCGTTGAGGCAGGAGGATCGACCATTGATTGTTCAGGTACAAGATTAACTTAAGTAGAGATTGAGGTCTCCTCCAGTGCATGGCCACTTATTTCTTGATCTTACATGAACCACGATAACTAGTCTTCAAGGCATGTTCTTGAGTGTCTTTGTAAACATTCTGACTTGAAAATCGCCATTTTTTGGGTGTACACCTGTAGTTGTTTTCAGAAGAACCTGAAATTTTAGTAAAGGCAGTGAATGGATTGGAGGGCCTTTGTGATGCTGTCGACATCAGTAACAACTTTACCACTGACAGTTTGAGTGACCTCCCCGTTGACAAACAGCATGACAAGTGGAGCTCGTGGTTGAGTTGTATTCAGAGAGTTCACCAAGAGTGTAAAATGCCTATTATGTGCAAGCTTCCTTTTAATTGGCAAACAACTGACGATCCTATCCCTTAGAGAACTCGCCGATTCGTTAGAATCACAAGCAGACCTCGCTTTGTCTACAATACTCTGGCAATTTATCTCTGCTTTGTAATGCTTCTTGTGTGAATCAACCACTGTATTGTAGCATCGTTGAATAACAAATGTGGCAACACCGAGGAAGAACACTGCAATTAATCAAATCAATTTTGGAGAAATAACAATCATCATGGCGGGAAGAAGCAAAATTTTTAGTTCGCCTATACTTTGGTTTCTTTTTGGCTTTTCTCTGTACATATTGGCATGTTTAAGTGGCAAAGATGCACACATCGGACTAGATATGCGCCTCGTCAAAGTAAACAAGCAAAGCTGGGATAATCATTGGTTTTTGAAACCGATATCTTCCATTTTGTTTCGACTCAATATCCGCCATATTGGATTCGTGTGGAAAGCTCGAGTCAGATTCAGGAATTCGAGAGTCAACTACTACAGCAACTCCGATGCAAGCTTCAACTTTGAATATTTACAACTATGTGGCGACATATGTCCTAACCGGGGCCTGCTTCCCCTCTGTTTGATGCACTTCACGTGGTGAGAGACAATGGAAAGCAAGGAGTATCCATCGGTCACTCGAACGTGCGAGGCCTCCGTAAGAACCTCCCCTCAAGTGAAAATACTTTTACAGCATACCAACCTGGATATCCTAACCATTTCTGAAACGCATCTGACACAAGATATAAGCGATAACGAAGTAAACATCGATGGATACCGAATTCTGAGAAGAGATAGGTCACACAAAGTAGGAGGCGGAGTCGCTATTTACTTTAACATTAGCCTAGATTGTGTACGTATATCCAAATATGACAACGACGGCATTGAAGCTCTCTGGATTGAATTGAAAGCTCACTCGCAAAGATTACTTGTGGGTTGTGTATATATAGACCTCCTGACGTTACATCTTTCTTTGATGAATTCAACCAAGTATTGAGTACAATTTGGATGTCTCGCAGGAATGTTGTGATCGCTGGTGACTTCAATTCAGATCAGCTTGCTACTAATGGAAATGGTGCGAAATTCAAACGCATCTTACAATCTTATAACTTTTGTAACATCATAAAAGCACCCACAAGAACCTCAGCACATTCTAACACTTTGATCGATCTGATTTTGACTATCAATACCTCAAAGGTCTCAAAGTCTGATGTGATTGAGTATTGCATAGCTGATCACAAATTCATCTACGTTATCTACAAGCTGAAGATCAGGAATCCAAAGCCTTTTATTAAATATGTCCACAACTTCAAGAACGTGTTGGAAAACCCGAAAGACTTCAAACATGACCTGGAAAGTGCTCCCTGGTGGGTCTGTTCCACCTTTGAGGACTTGGATGACATCACTTGGGCTTGGAATTGCATGTATAATATTATTGCAAGCAGTCACATTCCCTTACGTAAAGCCAAGGTTAGAAAAAATTCACTACCTTGGATGAACAGTGAGATCCGGAAAGAGATGAATAAGAGATATAAACTTCTGAAAGCCTGTGATGGCACACCCGCTACTAATAAACTCTGGGTTGATTACAAATCCTCTAGGAACAAAGTATCTAAGATGCTACGACGTGCTGAAGCTCAATATTGGAAAAAGAAATTTACAGAGACCAAGGACTCAAAATCTTTCTGGAAAACTGTGAACGAGGCCACTGGAAAACCTAAGAATAAACATATTGGCCCCCCAGAGATGCTGAAAATAAGGAAATCACAAATGACTACGAGAAAGCTGAACTGATTAACTCTTACTTCATAAATATTGGCAAGGAACTAGCTGAAAAATTCCCCGAAGTTGATGATCCCCATCAATTCATGTACAGAGTTACCCCCACTGTGCAGGTCTTGGAGGTCAACATCAACAAACTCAAAACTGATATCAAGACAATTAAAATTAACAAAGCATCTGGTCCTGATGGCATCTCTTCTCGTAGCTTAGCTATTGCAGGAACATCCGCCCTAGAGGGCATTGTAACTGTTTTCAAGAGCAGCATGGCTCAGTCCAGCTTCCCTAACACATGGAAGATTGCAAAAGTTAATGCAATCTTTAAAAAGGAAACCCAGCAGATGTTTCAAATTATAGGCCAATATCACTTTTAAATATCCCCAGCAAGCTGCTCGAAAGCCAGATCTGCAACATAATTGATACCCATCTGAACAGCTGTGGCATAAAAAGCTGTAAACAGTGGGGTTTAGCAAGGGACTATCAACTGAAGGAATGCTTACCTCTATGACTGAAGGATGGAAGACAGCAATTGACAATGGTCTGACAGTTGGAGCAGTCTTTATTGACTTCCAGAAAGCTTTTGACACTGTCCCCCATTATATTTTATCGCATAAACTACACGCCATTGGAATATCAGGATCTCTTCATGAATGGCTAATGAGCTATCTTACTGATAGATGTCAATTTGCTGAAGTTAATAATTGCAGGTCGGTCACTGACTATGTGCGATATGGAGTCCCTCAAGGCTCGCTTCTTGGCCCCCGGCTCTACACCATATATGTTAATGATCTCCCTGACCACATCGACTCGGGAGATCTATACATGTATGCAGATGACACTACAGTTTACTGTATTGGACCAAATGTTGACCAGGTTATGTTGTCACTAAATAAATCATTGGAGCAAGTTCTCCTGTGGAGCATTAAGAATCAGCTAACCATCCACCCAATTAAAACTGAAGCAATGATACTAAGTAAAACCTCTTTTTGTTGGGCCTATACCTCCCTCCACTTTAACACTGGCCATATCGACCTGGTTAATTACACCACTTGTCTTGGAGTTAAAATTGACAATAAGCTGACATGGTCTGTGCACATTGACTCAGTGAAGAAATCTTTTACGCAGAAGGTTGGAGCGTTGAAGAGAATGAGAATCCTTCCGAAGAAGGTTCTCGAGGAAATATACTTTAAAAACAATTATCCCCAGTGTAACGTATGGAATTTCGGTATGGGGAAATTGTTCTCCTTCCGCACTGAACTCTCTAAACCATATTCATGCAAGAGCAGCTCGTATTGTGAATAACCTCGACTCAACGATGGCAGATGACACATGTCTCATGAAATCCGACTGGCTGCCCATCTCTTACTTCTATAAAAAATCTGTACTGTTCCTCTTGCACAAAGTATATTTTGGAACAACGACCCAGTCGATATGTGAACTGTTTTCTAAAAGAGTTTCTTCTAGATCTTCTCGTGTTCCTAACCAATTTAATGTCATTAGATTTAGATCAGAGACCGGCAGGAACTCCCTACGATACAGAGGTCCTGTTATTTGGAATTTTGTAAATAGATTAGTTAAAGTACCTGAAAGTTTTTATTCTTTTAAACAAATCTTACGTAAACATGTTAAGACTATTGACAATTTTTCATTTGAGAAAGAGGCAACAGTAGTTGCCAACAGAAAGGACCATTTCATTTACTTTTAGATTTATATGTTAGTCTTAGTGAACACCATTTTATTTGTATATAGTAGTTCTAAGTTATTATTGCAATTTTTTTTATATATATGTAATTCCTAATATTTAGTATAGTAGGTCCACATCAGCCCTTTGGCTGCCTTTCACACAACCTACTTATCAAATAAAGAATGTATGTATGTATGTATGTAAGCAGTTGAGAGGGGTAAATCACTCCATAAGGTTGGATGTGAGGTATGATAATTTTAAAGGAATTGTGTATCATCAAATGAAGCTGTGAGTTGATTTACTATTTAGTATTATTAAACAAAGCCCTTTCTATGACAACTGAAGGGGAAAACACACGTGTACACTGCATGATAAGTTCAATTTGAATTTAGCTATCCATTCCCAAAAAAAAAAAAGTAATCAAATATGACAAAAAGCAGTGTGACAGTTTTCGATTAAAAAAAAGGAAAAAAAGGAGCCTTTTCCCTATTCCCACACTTTCAAGTAGGATATTGCACTCTGAAAATGTTTTTTTTGGGATATCCTGCACTTATTTATTTGATTTACTGGTACTAACATATTTAACCATATAATGTTATAAATGTTGGGTTAAATGACGATTGTCTTGTCTTGATGAAAACAAAATTATACATTACAAAAAAAAAAAACAAACAAACAAACAAACAAACAAAAAACTGTCTCATTTTAGTGAAAAATGCTTAAAACCCAAAGAGGCTATATTAACCCTAGAAATTAAGTTATTTTCATCTGGCCATATATTATGGTCACAGTCACCATTTTCAAAGTCCCATAAGCGAAACTGGAAGATGCAGTGCTTCAATGGCTGGTGTAATGGGCTCAGGATTGAAAGATTATAGGGTTCAAGTCTTGGTCATAGTCTCTGTGTCATGTCCTCTGGCAAGGTACTCTTCTTTCAAACCACTTCTCTCCAATGCAGAGTATAAAATTATGACTCCCAAACTTCCAGATATGTGTATGTATATAAACATTTTGTATGCGTGATGAAGTGGTGGGGTGTTACCCACTATGGACTGATATTTTGTCCAGAATGAGTACTCATGTTTTAGAACCTGTGATAAGCTCTCACAGCTATTTAAGTTAGTGTTATTTATATGTAGCCTTTTTGCCACTTATTTTACACATACAGTCAGATATTATCTCAGCCTTTAGCTTAACCCTTTAACTCCCAAGATCTCATTAGTAATTCTCCTTACTGTCTGCCAAATGATTTTCATTATGTTAGTTTGGAGAACTTGGTATTAGATCAATTAGTGATCCCATAATTGATATTTTTCTTTGTTCTAATCACTTGTCTGTATGATATTGTATAGATATAGTAAGGAGAAATTCTGTCTTGGTCACTCACAGGAGTTAAAGGTTTGCGTTACAGGTGTAAGTCTGCCTAGCTTTTTTGATTTGTGTTTTACTAATTTACATTTGACCAATTTTATTTTTGTAAGCTTTTACTACTCCACAAACACAGTGCAGAGAAGATTAATGCCAGTATTTCTAAGAAGGACTGGGATTCAGTCAAAGTAATCCGGTGAGAGCTTAATTGGTGTTTTCTATCAATCTCTAGAATATATGTCTGTCTGAGCTCTTGACTATGAGTTGTTAGCTGTGGTCACACTACAGACTTTAACTATAGGGAAATTGACTTACAGAGGACAAATTTCCTGAATTCACCCATGGTAAATCTATCTTGGGTTTCAATTTCCCAAGATCAGAAGGTAACACCAGCCTTTGTCACTGGTTTCTGGGTACAATACAACAAAACAGCAAAATATTTGGGGTGCAAATCACATTGTAAACATGCTTGAACTCAAGAATATAAATGTTTTTTTCTCTAAATTCTTTTTAATTTTTACTTTTTTTTTTCAAGGAGCATAGCATAGAGTTGTTTTTCTACAAAATTTAATTGTTGGTGTGCACAACAAGGGTGACAAGCCATATCCCTAGCCAACAACTGTGTCATCATCTCTTGAATGTTGGCTGATTCTAGGACAAAAATTAATATTTTGATTGGGAACAGATCTCAAAGATTTTGAACATTGGAAGAAAATGGTGGAATACTCCTAAAATTGAGATTGATACAATATCAATTGAAATTTAAATCACATGAGAGTAATAAATCATGCTATCATATGATATGGAAAAGAACGCATTGCAATTTTGGGGTTTCAAGTTCCCATTCTGTTACTCTAGGGTTGCTGTCATGGGGAAACCTTTTGTTTTCCTGATGGATCCTAGCTCCGTAAGCTAAAATTTCCCAGAGGTAATTTACCTTCATAAAAATTGGTCAAACCAGCAAATTTAAGTTTCTCATGGGTGGACTGTCATCAAGTTGGTAGTGTGTAACCACATCTATTATTGACTATTTTTCAGAGAGTCTGTTTCCCTTCCAATAATTGTTGATGTTGGTTTATCCTCTAAATGGGAAGTCGATGAATGTATAGAGTACACAGGAGTTCAGGGTGTGACTGCCTCAGGTAATGCTTCAAAGTAGTTCTGTCCTTGGGATGTTAAGTCCACATGTACAACCAGCGGCAAAAGTAGTTGGCAAGCCTCCCCTTATTAGGAGGCTGTCAACCCATCACTCAACGTAATAAACAGAGGTCTTGTAATTCATCTTCAATTTGTTACTTGAAGGTCCCCCTTTTCCCTCCAAACAATGTTGTAGGAAATTAGTGTCCATTTTGTGAATACCATGAAACATTGAAATGGGGCAGAGAGGGAGTGAAAGTTTACAGAAAAAATTAAAAAAGTATAACATGTGCCATGACTCTTGCCACTCACTGTAGTTAGGAAAAGGCTGTGAATAATTTGACCCATAAGTAGCGCAAAGGAAACCCCATATCATTACTCATTAAGGACAGGTAGACGTAACTTGTGTTTTGTTTATCAAGATTGTATTTTGTCCAAATTTTTTAGATGCATGTAACTTTATGTGATGCTCAAGTGACTCAGCATATACATGTAGCTATGGAATGTTACAGCTTAATACATAAATGTTCTTGTTAGACTTCAATTTCAGCTACAACCTTTTACCTAGGTAGCAGATTTGAATATTGCGTTCTTCAAGCTTTTTCCTTTCTTCTGCCATTATTGTTATTATTTTTTTGTTTTTCTTAAGAGTCTTTGGAAGGTAACCCATCACTTTTCTGTAAGAAACAGCCTCCAGTGTTAGATGTGGTCAGGCAGTACTTGGAACTTTGCAAAGTCCATCCTACATCCATTTCTAACATCAAACATCATATCAATGGATTTTGTGGATTTTAGTAAGGAAACGAAAATCCATTTTTTTTAATCAATTTTTTTTTACATTTTGTATCTTTTTGGTCAAGCAATAATATTGTAATGATCATGTCACTGGATATTTTCCTTGATAATTTGTACTTGTCTTTAGTTTAACCCTTTTGCTTCCAAGACCCAACTTGAAATTTTCCCTTCTGACTGACTTACATTTTCTTGAGAATTAGACAGGAGAATCTGGTGTGATATCTAGATAACACCCTCCAGATGATATCTTGGTTCTTGCAACCTGTCATCCAGATAACATATTTGAATTACAAAGAGAAATTACATGTTTATCACTACTAGGTGTTGGAGAGTTAAGCAGAGCCCTGACATTTTTTTCGTACTATGTTTAAAAAGTCTCAGTAGGTTTCATGATTTGAGCACCAGCCTTAAAGAGGTACAGAGCTTAGAGGGCATTGAACAGCTGATGGAGGAATTAGGAGAAAATATTTCTAAGCTTTCTGTAAGTTTTCACCAGAAAAAAGTACTAAATTATGTTTTTTTTTTCATAATTAATATTCCTCTTGATTCCTTTTCTTCGCTGAATTCCTTCGCTTTTGACACTTACGCAGATGCAGATGTAACTTATATAAGTAGGAAGATGCAAGTGACTGTGTAGTTTTGTCGTACAGTTTAGGCAGGCGTAAGATACAAAACCAAACCCTCAGTAGACATCCCTCTTAAGCCTCCAACAAATCAATCCATTAATCATTCAATTAGTCAATCCATCCATCAATCAGCCATTAAAGCATAAACAGCCGAGAAACGTCAGCTACTGCAGTGCCTCTCAACAGTACGTTGACAGTCTCGACTGAAACTCGATCCTCGACGATTGAGAGTAGAGGCTCAGGGAGCGAGAATCGAGAATCAATGATCGAGGATCGAGACGCGCGAAGAACTTTTCGAGATACTCGATCGGAGAAAACGATTTTATTCTCGCATGTAAAACAATAGCAATTTAAAGGACAGAGCGCCACACACGCGGCTTTATGACACAGAGGCCACTCGTGTACAACACGGACGACGTCAGTTTTCCTTGGTTTCGGAATTACGTGTACCAACAAGTCTAAAACCAACCAATAAAAATGTAAACAATCACATTCCCACGGACACCGTGCTTTGAGGTTCACTAATATTGCGTTCGTTGTTGTTATCGACGAGACCGTAATACTTACAAAAAATAATTTTAAATCGAAGATATCTTGCTAAATTGCAATGACTGTATGAAGAAAAATTTAACCAATTGCACAGACAACATTTCCTTGCATAAGCACCCACGCTCCATTAAGCGCCCTTGCCCCCACTTGGGCATAATGTCAAACAAGCACCCCTCTTTAATCAGCGTTCCTTCCTCCCTCTCTTTCTTAAATAGTAGGGATACAAGGTAAACTTGTTTTTAATGCCACCTTATTTATACCTTTTTAAGGTTTAATTACAGCGGAATCAGTACGGGAGAATAATAAGCGCCCCTCGATTAAGCGCGCCTCTTCAGATAAGCAGTAATACGGTACATCAATCACGATTACTGTAGTATGTCGCCGTGACGTCACCATCTCGTTCCCCAGACGCGCAGACAAACAAGCTTATTGACGATTGTACAGCAAAGATATATTTCCCCACTCTTGTTCCTGTCGAGCCGCGTGAAGAAAAACTATCGAGAACATTTACTGTCATAAATGCTGTTTAGTTTGCATAGTTTGCTTTCTTTTACAACACAGGGAAAAGAATTAAAGTCTCTGACAAGCCTGAGAAGGAAGAAGGTAATGATTTAAGATTTATTTGCACGTTATTGTAAAAATATTCTCTAAGTGGTTCACTTTGCACAATAAATACTCTCTTTTCTTGTCAGAAAAAAGCTGCTTGTAACAGTAAGCGCTTTTAACTTTCAGGAGTGGAGAAAGCGAGGACGAGACAGAAAGAAGGAAGAGGGGACAAAAGTTGTAAAAGGTGCAGTAGCCAAAAAAAACAAAAAACACTAAAAGAACAAAGGACATTGGAGCGCTTTTCGATTGAAAGTTGTGAAACCAAAACCAAATCATTACAATGGCCAATCAGAAGAAAGGAAAATACCCTGAAGAGCCAATGAGAACTCAAAATGAAACCAACCAATATGTCCAAAGCCCGGGAAAACTCTACAGACCAAGTCGTGATTGGTTTTAGTTTTGCATCTGATTGGTTGAGGGGGTGACGCGAGTGTTTCTGGTCCAATCACCGAGGGAAGTAAATAGAAACAAAGGCAATCTCGGATTACGTTCGACGCCCATCGACTTTGACAAGGGCATTGTAACAGACGTTTGTCACCATATTGACCGTGTAACTTATAGAAGTCCGTAGTTATCCTTTTCCCTTCAGCGGGGCATTTGATGGGATATCTTGTTTTCCCTTCTTTGAAATGATGAAGAGATTATTTGCGTATTACTCGTTGTTGAAACAACGGTTTGAGATCTGAGTAAAACATGAACTTCGCCTTACTACCAGAAGGCAATTTTGTCTGAAAAACATTTCATGGACATACCATGAATGTCACATAAACTTATGCCTCAGCGCCTGAATTTCGGTACTAGATCTGGCCATAAGGATTTTCTTGAAATTGACTCTGTCAGCGACTTTCAATTCTGATTGTGTGTGTTGTGCAGGGCAGATTCTGATGTATCTCCATTTTGCTTTTCCTTTTCTTAATCTAGAGAGAGACGAAAATCACATCCCAAAAATTGTATTAAAAAAACTTCAGAAAGAGCGAGTGGGAAACGCAATGAAGTCTGATGCTCAGAGAGTGGCCATTGATTTTACCGTAATAGACTGTATGCTTAATAAGGTGAGAGCATGTGACGAAATGACCATTTAAGTCGTCTTGTGTGTCAATTATAATCAGCGTCAATATTCATCATTTTGGCTCAGAAACTGATGTTCATTTTACGATAATAATCTTTATTTTCTTTTGTCGTCAAACTGAGAATGATAGCTTCACACGTCCATGCGCAGTTTCTGGAGAATTCCCCATCATTTGTCGACTTATAGTTAACCAACTCTACTTTACAGAGATTTTCGAACATAATATGCCAATTTCTATGATGATTCGACTGGTGTCTTCAACTGAAGAAAATTATGGGTAGCAAGAGAGGATGAAGTGTAGCTAGTGAACAGGAAAATTCCCATTTTCACACGACATTAACTATTGTAACAGGAAATATCCAAACTCGCTGGTCAATTAATGCGACTGTATGGTTGCAATATGAAGTCGACGTCTCCAGTTCACCTTTACCTGACGGGACTGGAAACCGGCGGTGTAGTGTACCGTGAATGTGAAAGACAGTCGTTCGACTTCACTAAGATATTGGTAAGTGAATCCCGAATTCCTGCCCTTGTAATACAATTGAAACGAAAACGATGGAAACTCTCTCATGAAAATGCTGGATTAAGCCCGTGATTCCATTCGGTGGAATCGCCGTTCAGGGAACAATGTCGGAACTGAAAAAGTTTCTCTTGTAGGTAGGTGTCCTCAATCAACACAACAGTTACAGGTTATAGGAGCATTCTAGTTTTCAGTCGGAAGAACTATAGTACCAAGGAGACACGGGTTCGAATTCTGTCGATGCCTGAATTTTTTCAAGCTTCTTTAGTGCACTTTTTTCTTCATGAAGTTCACTTACTAGGATCGTTTCACAGGGATTAGGAAGGCCGTGCGCCATGCGCGTATGGCGCATAAAGCTACGAAATGGCCCATTATAAAAATACTTACCGGGCCTGTGATGCGCCCTGACCACACAAAGCTAGTGAAATATAAACTATTTTGTGAAAAGGATTTTCATTTGTAAAAGTTTCACTTTGGTGAGACATAAACAAGCGAAAAACTACGGTGCCCTCGCTCGTTTGATCACGCTCGCTTCATTATTGTTCCCAGATCCTGAACTCGGACTTTGCATGCAAACGAGGCTATTGCTCGGAGTTCCATGTGCTTTCGTTTTCAAGCAGAGTTCGAGCGTTTTCGTCGCTTTGAATGTATTTGCATCGATTAGCCTCATGCCTCCGAAAAAAATCTTGAGATTGGACAGCTCGCAGAGAACGTTGTCTACATTTTTCAACACAACAGCGGAGCAGAATCGTGATACTGTGAGCGAAAACGACCGTGAAACGGACGAAACAGATGGTTCATAGGTATAGACTGTAATACACAAGCAATAAACCGTTGTTAAATTTTTACTGGCCCATTTATTTACCCTAATGGCCCAAACGTTTTATAAATGGCCCATAACTTTCCAATGATAGGGGCCATAGGCTCATTTGCCTGTTAAACCTTCCTAATCCCTGTTTCATCACTCGCAGGTTCTTCATAGTACGACTCAAGATTTAACTGTTATTTCGTTTTCTCAGGCGAGCGTGTCAGAGAAAAGCTATTTGACTTTGTTTGACGCTGACGATGTCGTGTATTTGACACCAGACTCACCAAATGGTAAGAATCTTTAAAAAAGTACACTTTTGGTTCCACAATATGCGAGCTGTAGGTGAATTACGGCCAAATCTGCCGAACTGTAAGCCTATCAATTCTCCCATCTCCAACGATAGACTTCGCCGTCGGAGTTGCCGCCTCCGTAGCAGCGATAGTTACCACCGATCAGTCGCACCTTTACGTACAGTGGCCACTGAGCTGTCCCACCCGTGACTGACACGTTAGGCTATGTCACGGTCTCTGCAATAGTTACCACGCCGCTTCTTGCACTTTCCCTCTCTAACTGTTTTTTTTTCCCGTAAATTTTTTGTTTGTCGTAAGGGATCAAAGCCTCGTCATTTCAAGTAGGAATTAAAAGCGACCTCTAACAAGCCCTTAACCTCATCCTCGAACCAACGAAGGCAAACAAATGCTCTCATTTCAGGCGGTAGATCGGTCAAGACATTCCTTATTATTGGAAAGACCTCTATACATTCTCTTTTGATAGAGAAGTGAATCGTAATTTGTGGTCAGAAAAACGTCATAAGTAACTTGAGTGGAAATTCTAGTTTCTGTCATACGATTTATTGGTACTTTAAATATTTTTCTGGTTTCTTTCTCTCTTACTGCTCTTTTTGATAAAAAAAAAGAAACTGACTCAGTTCAAATGAGTCGCTCTGACGAAGGGCTAACGCTCGAAACGTCAGCTTTTTCACTTTTTACGGTGGCCAATTTACGTTTTCGACTCAGTTGTTAACACTAAATTACCTGCTATACTCTCCCACCGACGCAGCACCACAGTTTCTTCAGAAACTTATCCCCTTTATTCAGTTCAAACGAGTTAGCTCGAAAACTTCACAGTTCCTGTAGCCTCTAGGCTCCAGTAATGATTAAAGTATGCTTTTTAAAATGTTGACGGTTAATTATAAAAGTTTTATTAATTATTCATTGTATTAACTCTTTGTGAGCGATAAAAGATTTGTTTTTTGTATATGAACAACGTTTTGTCCTTGAAATTTCAGTGCTGGATCAACTTAACAAAGACAAAGTCTACATCATTGGCGGACTTGTAGATCATCAAGTGCGGAAGGTAACACTCTGTCCACACCCTTCGATCTGAAGAGTTAGTCAGCTTCTTTTCTCCTGTCACCATGAGAGCATTATCTAGCTGCTTGATAAAAATGATCAACCTGGCCCCGGTTGTTCGAAGATTGGATAGCACTATCCACTGGATAAATCTCTATCCGGTGGATAACGCTATACGTTTTGCTATCACATATAGCGATTTATCCGTTGGATAGCGTTATTCACCCTTTATACAACTGGGCTCTGGTTGAATTGTTCCAACGTAATAACATTTTTTCGGATCCTTCACAGGAGGATTTGCTATTCAGATCGTTGAAGTGAATGGGTTCAGATTAAAACTGCTTGGAAGTTATTATTTGGTTGTCAGCTGGAAGTTTATGTAGAGTTGGATAGACCGCCGAAGGGAATAATAAACAGCTGATATTTCAAGTGTCACGCTTGCATTTGAGGAGCGCGGGGTTTTGTAGATTGTATATGTTATCGGAACAATTTTCAATGGAATGTCGACAGTATTCCGGGGCTGCTTTGTTTCTCTTTTAATTTGCTTTGTGATTGGTCCAGAAAACTTGCGCCACTCTCTTAACCAATCAGATGCAAAACTAAAACCAAGCACGTCTTGGTCGCTAGCGTTTCCCGCGCTTTAAGCTGTTTGCTTTGGGTTCTCATTGGCTCCCAAAGGTATTTTCCTTTCATCCCAGTGATAGGACGTTTCGATTACTTTGGTTTTGATTTTACAACACTCAATCGAAAAAGCTCTCTATATAGTGGAGAGTAGATTTATTATAGTATACACGGCCAAGGATGATGCACGCATTAAGTGATGACATCATTTATTTTTTATTGATCATTTTGAACTAAATTCACATTTCCTGAGTTGATGACACTTTTTAAAGTCAGTATACTGTGTGTTTGGTTTGCAGGATAAGACGAAGTCGCTAGCAGAAGAGAAGGGTTTGTGCACAGCGCGGCTGCCTATCGACAAGTACATGGAATTAAAAGACATTTCGCCCAAGAAGAAAAAGTCCGGAAAGCACGCTTTTTCAATCGTGCTCAGTGTGAACCAAGGTAGCACCTAAGAATTCTAAATCTTGAGCAGACTTGACTGTTACAAATGTGCTAATGTGACGGTGAATTGCTATTTAACTCTTAAAATCGATGCATTTTGCGGTCCAATTATTTGGCAATAGACACAGACGTGGTGTAACACTGTCATCAAAGCGTACGGACTGGTGGTCTTGCAGCCATCTTGTGACTACCATATTTCTCAGGTACGCATGCTCCCATCGCGCGCCTTGCTCATAGGAGCTGTTCTCTACTTGCATCACTTAAATTGCCTCAATTTTACTCGTTCGAGTATTACTGTAAACATTTATCTCTCTTTTACAACGCGCCGCAGTGTATTTAGCTCGGGGGCAAATATGACCGAACAAATTAATGAGAAAAGTTGCGCATATTTATTAGTCTGAGGCAAACCAGTTGGTTGTTTACAAGCATAGCTTTGAATGCCGACTGGGGATCATGGGTTGCGCTTTCAGAGTGGTTATCGTCTGGCCGAGTGGAGAACGGCGAAGATAAAAATTTGACCACCACACCATTCCCGCGATCGCTTCGTACCGCAAGGTGCAACCTCGTTGCGTGACTAGCCGTTGATCTTCCGCCGGTCGATTTGAACGACTATTCTAGAAACGGGAGCGAACGTGCTTCCGTTGAGGAATTTTTTCCCTTGCAATTTGAATTAGATTCTAGCTGATCAGTCTTATTGTTTTTCTGGTAAACAGCTGTTCGTAGCGTCCAGTTTCTTACGAAAATTCCACATCACTTATTGAAGTGAAATTCTATGCGAAAATCTCGCTATCGGGGTCGAGTTTTCCCATAAAATTTTCCATTAGACGAGAAGACTTCTTTCAGTTGTGCGATTCTCAGACGAAAGCGAATGGAGTCATTCCCTAACGAGTTTTTCAATCCGTATAGTCATGTTTAAGGTAATGAGTGAACCTAACGATGAATTTCCATGCTGCGCGTCAGTTTTTTTACGACGTTGCAAGTCGGTGATTCCCAGTCTTGCATTGTAGCACTGTGCTCTACACAGTATGTGTGCGCGGGGAAAACAATTCAAACCCAATTAATTTTAACTTTGAAATTAAACGGCGATGTTTTTTTCTTCTTGGATTTCTTTGTATTAAGATCACTTGGTCGCCTGAACTTTTTTTTCCAGAAAAGACTTAATGTTTTTTTTCCTTTTTTAAAACTGCAGCTGTATTTGGTTCTTAGTTTGAAATATCCAGTTCCACGCTATCAATTCGCCCAAGGCCTAGCAGGTGGAAGTCAATTCTATCCCCAAGTCTTGCAGTCGTGTAGGAGATGTTTAATAGGATTCGGTTAAAAAAATGGAGTGTAGTTTGGCAAATTATGCCCTATTTTTATCAAATGTGGCCGACAAACACAGAAAGATCGGCGCATCACAATTCGATACGATTAATTCCGTATCACATCAGTTGTTACGATTCTTGTTAGCAAGGGCATATTCTGCCTGCAATCAGCGGGCATTCCAATTGGGAATTAAAAATGATAATTTTTATTTCAAAGAATAGTTGTTCGAAACACAACCTAAAATTGAACGAAATCGTTACAATACTTCAGAGGCTGTGTTTGTTGGTGCGCTTGTTTTTCCGGCCAGCGGACGCCCGTATTGGAGGATATCTCACGATAGTTTGAGTTACGAGTCTCTTCTGCGGCGTGCAGAACTATATTCAATGTGAGGTACACCACAAAATGTTAGTCAGTTATTACAGATAAAGGTCACAATTGAAAGTATGACGCTAAAGAAAGAAAGCAGAAAGGGTTACAAAAATGGAGAGAACGCGGACGCATACGAAAAAGTGAAAAAAACAGGTTGAATGTCTTGTCTTATGTAAGACGTGAGGTAAGCGTTCTCATCATTACTGAACAGAAAAGGTGTCAACACCTGCCCTACCAAAAATGTTTTTTTCTTTCACGCCGCACGCACATAAATCAGTGTTATTTTTAAGGCCACAAAGGCTGAGTTTTTCAATAAACTTTGTGAATCTTCCGGCTTTCAGATACTACATCAGCAGTTAGAAATAGCGTTTCCACTGCGCGATTTTTAAATAACGTGGGTTACCACGCAACCACTACTGCTTCCAAATATAGCTAATTGCTCCCCTAAACTGGCGGTCGTTAGTTTGTCTTTGACACCTGAACAGAATATGTCGTTAAATCTTTGGTGAAAAGCGACAACCTTGCCACATTTTCACTCAGCTACCCTTGATGGTTGCCAGGAGAATTTCCTCCGTTTCAAGCCGAGCATAACTTGATTACATTATTATTTTCTTTCACAAGTTGCTAGGCAAAATAAGCTTTATCCAACCATTCATACAAAAACATGTCTGGTCAAAAAGAAGTTCTAGTATCACTTGGATTGTTTTTAAAAATGGAAAAAAAAAATTGGCATACTCTTTTTGTCTGTCTGTTTTATTTTTCAGGGATGTATTCCAAAAAACAGAGCAGACATTTTATGGTTGTTTGCCTGTTACTATAAACTGACCGGAAAATGAGACAAAATGATGGTTCCCCACGCCGATTGTGAATAGGTTAAACGTTCGCGGCGCCAAGACCAATGGATGAATGAGATCGATTAATTATTGTTGAATGGAAGTCTCTTTTATTTGAGCAATTCAGACACGACTCGTTTGACATCCTTAAACTTTAAAAAAACTCATTAGGATGCTTAATGCGATGGTAGCTGTCATTTCCATCATAGATACGTCGTGGAGTAAACATCGAGAGCGAAAGCATGACCTCTGCCTATTTTCATATAGCCTTCAGTTTTTGTCGAGGTTTTAGAGTCCGACTCTTCTTGTCCTTAAAACTCTGAGACTACAGGACTCGATACAACTTACTTATTCGTAGTAATAGCTAATTGCTTTTCAGTAAACGTTTCTCACAAATCATTATCAAACTTAAAGGAGCCTGTTTTTACATACCATAATCATCAGCAATATGAAAACTGAAAATTTAAATATTTCAACCCAGTCAGATCTTTGAATTACGAATATGAACCATTCCTCTTGTGCTGCTTGGTTCAGTGCGCTAGATATTTCAACCCAGTCAGATATTTGAATTACGAATATCAACAATTCCTCTGGTGCTGCTTGGTTCAGTGCGCTAGCCATCGGTTTTTTATGAAGCGACTGCGAAGCCATCTTGAAACTTCTCCTTTTAAAAGGCACTCCAGATTAATTTCAAACGCAGTGGTTTTCCAGCCCGAATTCTCTAATAAACCAGTCCTTGATTCTGTCTTCTAATTCAGGGTAACTCATTTGCGATCCTGTCGTTCCCTTGTTCTTCAGCACGTGGCGACAGAAATTCTCATTCGGTTCAGTTTTTAAGAGGCTTTTAGGACGCACATGTTTGGCAAAGAATTCTGGAAATAATGATTTAGCTGCCAAATGAACTTCTCTCACACAAGATTCCGTGTTGGTGAAAGTATGAGACGAACTGAACGAATCCAGACTACGGCAGCTAGAGGTGGTGCTGCTTGAAGTAGAGAAGTGTCCATAAAATACCTCTTTCTTGAAACTTTCCTTACGCATTTCTTTTCTAGTTATCGTTTGCAGTTGGTGAGTCATTTCTCTGCTGCGATTTATGTTGTTGTTTTCTTTTTGGTTCAGAAACTTGACAATCCTTTCAGAGCAGAGGAAACAATTAGCAGATCTGCACACGACAGTTAAAAACTAATGATAATAAAGGAATATAGATCAGCTGTCTCGTTTTTTCTTTTTTTTTTTAAAAAAAAAGGAAAGTTACGTAACAAATGCTCTAAACATGTGGCAAAACGCGTGAGTCGCATATTAATTAGAAGCGGAGTCATTTTCATATTCAGCCATCGATTACACCGTATAGCGTTTTGTAGTGTTTCCTGAGAGCGACATCAAAATCGCAAGAACCTTTAAACAATCAAAACGATTTTTCTCCACAAGATAGACACTAAAGAGACTCCTTGCACAGGGCGACATACTTGAACCTCTCTCAGATAACTGAGTGCAACTGGATAAATATCGTTTGTCAATTTTTGCAAGACAAATGTTGTAACAGGACGTTTGCCTCTAGGTATTCATTTTTTCTGCGGTGCAAAGCGTCTAGAACGTGCGTTGGATCGAAACGAATGAAGACTTCTTTTTAAGTACATTAACAAAAACCTCTTTTATTGTTAGCTACCGTGACGTATACGACCACCCTTTAAACATGGAACTCAGTGATGATGCGGAAAAAATGAACGAAAGTAAATGCAATAAAAATACGAAACGATGAAACCAAGATAAGACGCATCAATCAAACCATGGAAACACTCTCCGCTGCAGGCCATCTGGTTAATAAGAATTTCAGTGTTTACAAACGAGGGATTGTTCGATTTTTAACGTTACTGAACCTCTCCATTACAAGACTGCAAAACAATTGCTTTAAAGGACTAATAACATTCAACAGCGCAGAAGAACTGAAGAAGTGTTAAAATAAAGGCTACTAAAAGGCGTTAAACAATACTCTATATTAGCATCTGAGGGGCTTTTGTTAAGATACACACATTCTATACTCGGCCGAAAATAGATGAGTACCATATGTGTTTTCTGTTCTTTGTGTTTTCCGTCTTTATTTAAATATTTTTTCACCTTTTTTTTATACTTCTTTCTTTTGAGGTACATGGTTGTTTAGAACTTAAGATCTTGTGCAGAAACTGGTTCAGATTTAGACAGAGAACATCTCTAAAAGTTCACTTGAAGTAACATTTTTGCCGAATAAACGTCTCGATGCGGACTGAAATAACAGTTATATTCTTCTTGTCACATTAAACGTGACTTGATACCCCGAACACATTTGTAGAGAAACAGCACGTTTCTTGTGATCAGAAGCGAATTAATTTTTGTTTCGTAAACTCTATCATATTTCAGGGTCGTATTTCATTTTCATGGCTGATTGTGTAAGAGCAAACTTAGTTTAAAACCGAAAGGATAAAGTATGGTGATTATAAGATTTTCGTTTTCGGCACTTCGTTAGTTGTTGACTAAGTAAATACGTGTCGTTCTTTTTACACTGCAGCGCCGACGGTCTAGACAAGCTGGTCAGCGAGTCAGACATAGGCTATCGTGTCCCAAGATGCAAACTACCAATTTAATGACAAAATCATCCTTTGAAAGGTTGATCTTGGTCAGCGAGAAGGCCCTCCCCCGCTGATAAATCGAACCCTTATCAAATCTCGTTGACGATTGCTACGTAACGAGGGCTGTCGTGTTGGAGGAGAGTGAAATGTTACCAAGTAGAGTTGCCTAGAATTGTGTTTGTGTGCTTTGTGTGACTTAGGACAACTAATCGGTGGACAAGCTGTCGATCATTTGTCCATGCCATTTTCCATTTTCTATGGGTTTCTACTTAAATCCTTTGAGATCTTAATCACAGGCGTATTTGACTTTATAATGTCGTCCGAAACCACATATTGTTTCCTTTGGCTGATCGGTAGAAATGTGAAAGGCTGCAAACCGAAACTTATGCAGTCTTCAGTTGCCGTCGTTAACTTACGAACGTTTTAATGCACGCTTTATATTTATGTATTCCTCTCCGCAAGAGTTTCATACAGGTTTTCTTAATTTCCTTTGGATTTTTTTAATGTTTTATTTATTACAAAAATCGTATCTATTTGCTTTACGATTCTACTCGTAGTTTTAAAAGGAATTAATTAGACGTTTCAAAGCAGACTGGAGGCAAAGACAATTTTGTTTTATCTTATCGCCAAATCTTCCTTAAATACGAGTTACTCAGTAAAGAGTGATCCTTTCTCTTAGGCCGCTTTTTGAATGAGTGGCTAAAAAAAAAAAATCACCAATGCCAATCACAACTGAGGAAAATTTCACAAGGAGTTAATGAGAATTCGAATAAAACCATGCGAACTGCTCTTAGCGTGGGAATGAATAAGTGATGTGGTCACAATTATTATTATTCTGGTTGGTAAAGAAGATGGCATGTCACCTTGAACGTGTTCAACCATCTTTTTAGTCCAGGAAGGCATTCCCTTTTTCGCTAACGTCGGCCGAATGGGATTGCAGCTGTGTGTATATTTAAGATAAGCGTAAGTGATGCAACAGCCTGTATTGCTTTGATCGCTTCGATAGCTACATCCTCTGTAAAAAACATTTTCCCATCTTAACGATAGCAGTGACAGTCCAAAAGATAGCATGTGTCTCACAAAGACCGCTGGACTTTGATTGCAACAATTTTGACGATCAACCAGGCTTATTACTAAACTGTAATCCGTTTTTTCTTGTTCTTTCTTTTCAGTTTTTGAGATCTTGTTGAAATTTCACGAGACTCAAGATTGGCGACAAGCTTTAGGGACTTGCGTACCGCAACGGAAAGGACTGGTGTTGAAGACATAAGCTGAATAAAGGTTCCGGATAGGTCGTTTTATGACAATTTAACTTTGGTCATTTATACGGAAACGCTTCAAAGACCGCTTCGCGCTGATGTGATTACGTGATAGTAAGGAGAACTGAAATCACGTGGCATAGCAAACAGTATGGCAAGACATGGAAGGCCAACTTGTTTTTTCAACAAAGCCGAAGCAAAATAACCAGAACGCAAAAGTTCAGAATTACTGTAGGAGTCTTGTTTAGAGACTGAAGTTTGGACAGCCTTAGCGGAAGAGATCATCAGAGTCAATTGAAGAGTTGTTTGTTAGTCGAATGTCGTTAAGTCTTGCTCGTGTACACTGATGTATTTCGCATTAAAACTTGGACCCCTATGAGTGACTAGCATCTAATTCCTCCCAACAACATCACCCCCCGAATCAAACATTAAGGTCACAAAAATAAAGGAATGAATGGAGAACAGTATGGTGAATTTGCATACTGATGTTGGGGTGTAAAGTGTTAAGTGTGGTTTTTAGCGGTCTCTGTTTCAACCTCGTTCCCAGGGTCTCTCATCTTCCCGCCCCCTGGAGCGAGCTCGCGGGGGCGGGAAGATGAGAGACCCTGGGAACGAGGTTGTCTCTGTTTAAAACAAAACCCGTAAAATGAGATCTATCGTCTGTCATTTTCTGCTTTGTTAACTACAAATTTATCTTGAAAGTTCTGTGTTAAAAATTTAACAGTTTTTATAAGATACTTGGTATATGGATTTCTCATGTAAGAAAACGAACATTATCAAAAGCGCGTTGCAAGAGAAACAGCTGAACTACACGATATGAAATCACAAAATCGATCAAAAAAGCCACATGGGGAGTCCGCGCCGGCCCGTCTTTAATTTCATCCTTATTCCAATGTCCCTCATCAGATTTCAAGTAAGTAAGCAAGATTTGATTGGTTCATCTTTGCTTAACAAGCGGGAGACTGGTTCAAGTTAAAATCGAGAACAAGTCGATAATAGGACTAACGATTGAGTCTTGTCACAACGATTGATATTTTTAGCACTAACGATCGAGTTTTATCACAGCGATTGATATTTTTAGCACTAACGATCAAGTTTTATCACTAGGGATTGATGTTTTTAGCACTAACGATCAGTTTTATCACTAGCGATTGATATTTTTAGCACTAACGATCGAGTTTTACCACTAGCGATTGATATTTTAGCACTAACGATCGAGTTTTATCACTAGCGATCGATATTTTTAGCACTGACGATCAGTTTTATCACCAGCGATTGATATTTTAGGACAAACGATCGAGTTTTATCACTAGCGATTGTTGTTTTAAAACTAACGATTGATATTTTAGCGCTAACAATTGAGTTTTATCGCTAGCGATTGATATTTTGGCACTAACAATTGAGTTTTACCACTAGCGATTGATAATTAAGCACTAACAATTGAGTTTTGTCACTAGCGATTGAGTTTTATCACTAGCGATCACCAATTAAAACAACTCTTGATTATTTCAAAAATTCTCTTTGTCAGCACCTTAGGAAATGTAGAGAGTGTAACTGGGTTGAGAATGGCCATCACATAAAAAAGCTCTTGTGCAAGTGAAAGTCCTAAAGATACTTTTTGGCGCACAAACGAATAGAGAAAGGGCACAAGAGGCGAAAGGAACTTTGAAGCAGTGATCAAATATGAACGTGTCATAATTCACTCAAAACAGCGAAAGGTTTAAGCAATTTACGATGATGTATTTACAACAGTTTCGGTCCACTCAACAACAGACAATATCTTTCAAGATCTTCCAGGGCAGTTAGTACGTTCCAGATTGGATAATACTTCTAGGTATTCCTTAACTAGTTTCTCCTTAGAGAAAACTAGTTATGGAAAATTACAGTTTATATTTTTTGTTGTCAATAGATATGTAAAGGCAACCTCTAGATTTTCTAGGATTTTCTCTAGGATTTTAAATCAAGGTATGATTTAGTGTTATTTCAGTCTGTTACTCTCTACCGGTTGAAATTCAATCACGACTGTGTAGGGGCGGGTACGTAACGGTTTGAAGCGAAGTGTTCCTTGAGGTAGTCTCCGCCTTTCTCCTCGTATTCCTGTCTTGTAACGCTCACTGTTTGTAGACTGCTTAGTGACCTCGCCCACTTACGAGCTCCGTTCCAGGCGTCAAGTACAGGATTGGCTACAAATGGATTAGGAAAAGGAAGGTGTCAAAAATCTGTCGGGAGTGTGGAGCAAAGAGAAATCCCAGTCCTCCACGGGTGAAGGATCCATTTACAGCCAGACTTATATTTTGCGGTTAAGAAAACCTTTTGATTTGGTATCGTTAAATCGTTAAGCCAAAAAAATAAAGTAATTACAAATGCCGTTCGAAAAGCAAAAAATAACACATGCAAAAAATAATATATCATGAGGAACCAATGAGAATTGTTACGCACAAGTAAATTGCCTGAAGCGCGATAAAACGCGAGTCATTAAGAAAGGACTGGTTTTAGTTTTTCATTTGATTGGTTAAGAGATGGCGCGAATTTTCGAGACCAATAACAGTGGGTACTGAAGTAAAACCAACGCAACCCTCTGTTACTTTCGACAATCAGTTAAAAATTACTCTAATTCTTTGCCAACTGAGCCAAGGGGAATTTATTAGCCAGCTGAGTCATGTGTAATGTCTTGATGTAGTTTCTCAGAAAAATGTGAAACAGGAGACTCGAAAAACCCAAAACGAGGTAATCTTAATGACCAGTCAGAAATAAAGGAAAAAATACAGAGCATGCGGAATTATTTTCGAAACTCTTGTAAAACCCTTGAAAGGAGAATTAAGACATTTGTTATCTCCTTCACGTCACAGAAGAATGCTTTCATTACGGTTATTACTGCAACAAGCTGGTTTGTCTACCTGCTTTAAAAACTCTAAATGTTGATTGGAATGGTCGGATAGCTAGGAGCTCTCTCTCCAGACGTTCTTGAAAGTTTGGAAACTTGGTGTTTCCTCCAGTCACGAACACGTTCTAAGGAGAAAAAATAAACGAGGCAACTACAGATGTGATGTAAGTTTCCACAACACTTGTGTTAAATTCACTCGGCCAACGACCGAGCCTTACATTCTTAGATTATAAAGGCGTCTGACAAACCAGAATGACCGCACAGTTAATAATTCTAAAAAGAGTTTTGTTCTAACTGATGAAATACCGGTCACTCGACCCACTCGATTGACTAGTGTTAATTAGTTACCATTGAACATGATTTAAAAGTTGTAGGAGAATAAGTCTGAAATAATGCAAACCGAATAGCGCAGAGCATGATAATTATGAGAAAATCGTTCTTTAATGGTACACTATCGGGGCATGACAAGACAAGTTTTATTCTTACTTCTTACGAATGTTTATATGAAGTTTGTAGGATGTAATTCTTCTGTAGGTTATTTTGCGCACTAAATTGCACCAAGAGTTCTAAGTCCTGGAATAGCGCCTTCACTGTTTATGGAAAGTGTTGGGTTTAAACAAAAACACGGACCCAAATTTTAGACTTGAGTCGATCCTACCTCTCTCCCCTCCCCTACCCTTCGCTTGCCTCCTCCCTACCCACTACCCCTAAGCTCGTAACCAGGCAGTGGGAAGATAGCATGGCGGAGCACGTTGAGAGACCTAGCTGTGCTTCTCACATCGATCCGGGCGTGACATAACCTGAGAGCTATTTACCGCGAGCACATGTCTACACAACAAAACAGTTGATCTACAGCACTATTAAACATTAGGGAACAAAGTACGTACTGGTCAATCACAAAAGCATATCCTTCCATATCCTACCTGCACTAAAGCTGTCTGTAAGTCTGTCGAGTAGTGATTAAGTATGAAGTCTATAGTTTCAGAAATGCCAGCTTGTTCAATGCCCAGCAAAGATGGTTGATATACTATCTCGGGGACTCTAAAAAGAAAAAAAAAACACCAAAAAGAAAGATATGAATATCATTCTCACATTGCTGTTTCTGGTCCTTGACCTTGGACATAACATGACGTTGCCGCTATTTCTCAACGCCTAACGTGGCAACGTAACCATGGTGACCTAGAAGACCAATCACAGCAAACAGAATTGAGGAAATCTCAAAAAAAAAAAAAAAATAAAATAAAAAATAAGGACCAACAGACGAACACAAACAAAGAAAGATTCCCGGTGGCTACCCTGCAGTAAGGCCATGGCCTTCTAAATTACCTTATCCTCTCTACACCAAGGTGTAGCTGATAATACTCTGCCCAATCAACAGCAGTCTCTGGTTTCCCTCCAAAACGTCTACAAAGAAAGACAATTTTGTCGTTGTTAATGCGAGCGGAATGAAATAGCCATTAGAGAATTCATAGACGTCGGGGGCTTCCAGAATTGGCACTTACGGGTGTGGTTTTGTTATACATATGCGCCGTCAAAATCGCCATTTCTACCTTAACATTAAAGGCTCGTCATATGTAAAGTATTCGCTATAAAAGAACAGTACTTACTTTGAAAAGTCGGGATCGTGTTTCTTAAGTAAATTTTCTAGCTCGTTCAGTTCCTCCTGTTCTTTTTCGCTATCGGAGTCACCCGCATCTTTATTCTGTGGAAAGGAAAAGAAAATTTACAAATTAGAGCAATTTAGAAAATTCGCGCCTAACTTTCGACCAATCACGACTGGCACACTCACGTTTTCTGCGCTTCAGGCAGTGAGCTTATTTTCAGTTTTAGTTCCCACTGGCTTCTTCAGACATTTCCTGTTGTTTTGATTGGCAGTCGTGATTACTTTGGTTTTGGTTGACCAAACGTGACTTTGAGGTCAACTTGCACCCTAACGTGGGTATCTCTATTCTCCATGCTGTTCTCCAAACATTTTTCTAAGGTGAATTTGGAGACGGAGAATTTGTTCACCTATCAAAAGCTTCTCTAGTTGGTTATCATTTTCTCTATTCTCAAGACCTTAATGTTTGATTCAGCAGTGATACTGTAAGGAGAAATTAGATGCCAATCACTCTTAGGGGTCAAAGGGTTAATATTGGCTGAGCTCGATGAAATGGAACAGACAAGTGGGGAAACACGACAACAAAAAAGAAGACGACGGAATGGCTGAATCTTACAGATTACTAGTTACATTATTTACTCACAATTGACCTGTACACCATCCAGTCATCGTCGTTTTGGCCGAAAGTGTCTTCTTTTGGTTTCTTGTGTGAACTTCTTGTCGTACCATCGTCACGAACTATGATGAAAAACATTTTTTTTAGTTCAAAGATAAACCTTCCCAATCTGTCCCAGGTATACAGCAAACAAGTGTCGCAGTTTGTGATTTATCACCTGTCATTCAACAGACGCAGGGCTTGTCTCAAAAGAATTCAAAGTTTTGAATTTGTCGAGGACGACCAGGCAGCACTTAACCCTTTAACTCTTAAGATCTTATTACTAATTCTTCTAACTGTCTACCATGAAATTAATCGGATGTTAGTTTGGAGAATTTGGAATTGGATCAACCAATGATTCCCTGATTGATATTTTTCTTTATTCTCATCACTTGTCTGCTTGATATTGTACTGATAGTGTAGGGAGAAATTCTGTCTAGTTCACTAGTGGGACTTGAAGGTTTAACAATCGGAATATTGATTCCGAGACTTTTTTCCTCCATCTAATTAACTTCCGCACTCTGATACTTAACCAGAGCTGTCAGTAGGGGCCATAACCTGCGTGTACAACATCTGTGACCACTGAGGTCAATTGATGTTACCGCTGGAGATGTCGATTGCTGTCTCGTTACACTTGACCATATATCATACTGCTAACCCTTCACACCCTAACATCAGTAAGTATATTCTCCATACTGTTCTCTATAAATTTCCAAAGGTCCTGATGAGGAGAATTTGTCAAACAATCAAGGGCTTCTTTGGCTAGTGATCATTTCCTTTATTCTCGACATCTTTGCCTGTGAGTAGACCCTCAGTATTAGCGCTGCAGGACCCACATTTCACCTCTCGCCGAAAGACTTGGGACGAGTCGGGGAGAGGTTTACCGCGGGGGAGAAAGGGAGGGGGTCATTATCTTTGCTCGACCCCTTGCACACCTCTCACCAGCTCCTGTTGCTGAAGATCTCATACTTCAATGCAACTTAGTCATCTTCGAAACTTAGTGAAAGCCCTGCATAAAGAAGCACAGGGCTACTTTTTTTCGTTTTTTGTTTTTGTCTAAGACAGCCCTTGACACTAGACCTTACAAATATAAGCTAATGCTGACAGAAAAAATTGTTAAATTTAAGATAAAAAACAATAAACAGCTTTCACACAGTTCACTACACGTACATACCATTCGGATCGTAAGCCAATTGTGATAAAATCCTCATTCTTTCCAGGGATGCCTGACTTCTTCTGCTTGCCAGTTCCTCTCTCCTTTGTACTCGCTGTTGACGAGCGTCTAGTATTTCCTATCAAAATAACATACAGTCAGAGACCCACGTGCAGTTTTGGGCATCATCACTTAAATTGTCCACTCATAAACAACTGAAGGCCTGTCAGGGAAGCACTTACAACATTAGTAAGACCTCTAAGAGCTGGTTTTCATGCCTTGAAAAAAAGAGCCTTGTACATTCATATTCTGTTCTGTTTTGGCTGCATAACAAGCGGCAGTCTTTCATCATATTAGCAGTATAGGTCGGAAGTAAGGTTCAACGAACAGAACTACACCAAACCAGTGTCCTAGCGGATTTGGGCCCCCTGGACATGGAGCCCCGGTCCCTTTTTACAAGCGAATTTGGACCTGTAACAAGCAACGCAAATGGTTCATGTACCAATGAAGAAGACCTTCTCCCTGAAACACACCTTTCTCCTTCTGTGCAAACCCGTGAGCCATGTTTTAAACGTTTCCTCTCGTTGCACGTCCTCTTGACTCTTTTGTTGCATTTCTTGTTTCTTCTCCTCCTTTAATCTCTTCCCACTTCTCTCCTCAGCCATTGCTGCTCCTTTGGGAGTTCGCAGTCTCTTTTTGTTCTCGGCAGCAGGCGCTTCAGACACAACGTCGATAATTTCGTCTTTCTCCTTGACCTGCCATTGTAAGGAAATACGGAAATTTTTTACTTTCAAAAATAATTAATTCCATTGTTCTTGGACACTACATTTATCCTTGACTAAGACCCTTCAATTGGTTACAAAGTTGTGTTATAGGGGCATGGCATGACATCTCATTATTCCTTAGTATTCCTCCAAAAGCTCACCTCGGAATCTAATTCCAAAGCTGTCTGCATGGCGACAACCTTGTCCTTTCGCTTTTTTATAGAAGTCATCAGATTTTTGATAGCAGCTTGTAATGCCTAACAAAGAATTATTGAGTTTCAAAAACAGAGTTTCCCAAACTAGCAATAAAATCAAGCAAACAAGCGTATCAAATAGTCACAATAACTACTTGAGAAAACTTCAAGAAAAAGATCTAATGAAAAGACCAAAATAGAAAACCAGCTCCTCCCTAAGATCAGTCTGGGCTGATGATGAACAGACAGACAGACAGACAGACAGACAATTCCAGACAGACAAAACAAAAACCTGAATGGGCTGATGAAGCCAACTACTAAGCAGGAAGTAAAGTGGCTAATGAGAAATGAAAAAATAAAACACAACAGATAGACATTGAAGGACTTGAAGCAAAAGGCAGATACATGTAGTTCACCTCAGAACTCTGAAAGCCTGCTGCTGTTAATGATCTCTGTGAATGAAAAACAAACAAATTTGTTTTAGAATCCTTGACTTTGACAATGAGGATGCTAAAAAACAATATCTCTATACTGAAATCAAAGTAGTACTAAAACAATAAAATTTATGTCATAATCTTCACTTTGACCATAAAAATGCTAAATGCTATGTCACTCAAGTGCATATGTATTAAAGTAGCAGTGCATGAGGTAAAGTAACTCATTTGGTACACACAGTAGAATAGTAGAATTATTTGCCAAGGGTAGTGCATTCATATTCCAAAGAATTGAAATACAATTCTACTACCTTCATCAAAACACATGCTGAACAGTTTTCCATTGGCTTTTATGTAATTAAGCACTTCATTAAAATTCAACTTTATGAAATGTATAGACCATGTTTTGTCAGGCTAAAGGCCTGTCTTACCTGGTACTCCTCACTGTCTTGAGATTCCAGTTCCTGAATATTCATCAGATCTTGCAGCCTTTCTTGTTCTTCTGCAAGCTGATATAAACAGGGATAATTTTCAATTTAAGAAATTTTTTTAATCAACAAGTAATACTTTAACACAATATCAACAAATATTTACTTTTTCTTCTCTTCTTCTTGCATTGATTTCTTGTAACCTCCTTCCTTGCTTTTGTCTTCTGAGCTTTTCCTTTTCTTCATTCTTGGGTCCACTTGCTTGTGGAGTTGGAACCTGTTACCATAAAAAAGTGAAGCCTAAAAATTAACAGCTTTAAGAACCACCTTTTACTCAAACTACCTGGCAACATCTTGGATTTCTTGTTACATACAGTTGTTTACAGTTTCTCATGTAAGTTGTAATAATGTAGAGGGCCATATTTCAAAGTATAGCCTCCTACATGTAAATTCAAAATCTTGTTTGAATTGAAATTTTTCCCTCTATTTAAACCCAGAGATAAGAAATATCTTACCTCATTTTCTAAGTCCATATAGTAATTTTGGGGAACTTAATATTTTCTGCTCAGATTTCTAACGTAAGTGAATCTGAGCAGAAAAACTGGGTCTGTAAATTACATCACTGACCTCAAACTCTGCTAGAAAGAGGTTTCCATGCAACTACAAAACGACCTTTTGTATTTTACTGAAATTTTTTTTCAAAATCATCAGTGATTGAACTGCAGTGTATTTCTTCTGAGTAGAACCAACCTGAGCATAGGGCAACTGAATTTTGTGCACATTATCATCATAATAATCAGATGAAGACCATTCTTCCAGTTCCTTGGAGTAATCTGTTGCTATGAAACCATGACTATGGACTAGTTCCTAAAATTGAACAAACAAAGAAGTTGTTATCTGTCCTTTGAAAACAATTGTTACTAGCCAAGAGCCATCTTCAAAACAAAGCAGAACTGTATGAACAGCTTAACTGGGTCTAGTTTAAATTTGACTCTCCAATTCACATCATAGATGTAGGTACCTTAAAGTCTACTTAACCTCTTCACTCCCAAGATCTCAGTAGTAATTCTCCTTACTGTCTACCACACAATTTTCATGATGTCAGTTTGGAGAATTTGATATCGGATCAACTAATAATCCACTTATTGATATTTTTTCCTTATTCTCATCACTTGTCTGTTTGATATTGTAACAATATTGCAAGGAGAAATTCTGTCTTGGTCACTCATGGGAGTTGAAGGTTTAAAAAAATCCAAATGTACTCACCTGTGCTCTTGAGAGTGTAATCTGAGTAGCATGATGGGGATGTTTGAGCTGTAAGAGCCGCTGCATGTACCATGTGGCAAGTGCTCCACCCAGGTTAATCCTGTATGGTCAGTGCTCAACAAGGTTTAATCAAACACCATGTATGTACATTCATTAAGGGGAGGGGGAGGGAGTAATGCTCTGATATAAAAGTGGGTACATCATTATATCTCTCTGGGTTGCAAAGAAAGAAAAATTAATTTTAAAAACAACATTATAAAGGAAATCATGCAGCAAACTTAAGAGCATGTGACATCTTCATTTACTTTTACAGTAACTGTACAGTTTCTGGTACAATTGCATTTACTTTGGAGTACAATAACTCTAGCCATACCCAGAGTTGTTAACCTTTAGGAGGTATACTTTAAAATTTGCAATGAAAATCTTTGTCATGACTTTATAGCATATGGGATTCCCCATGAACCACAGAATCACTTCAACTTATTAACTATTGTTCATTATAGAAATAAATACAGCTAATGCAATCGCACAATTTAGTTAGTCTCATTATTCATTAAGGTACAAGCAATCCCATTTTGTGCTTGAGGGGAAAACATACTAACCTCTTACAGTTACTGGCATCCAGTCTCCCATTCACAACAGGCAAAACATGACTGACTTGACATCCAGATGACACCACAAGTGCAGTGGTTTTGTCTGCAAGTAATGAATTTAACATTCAATAGATTCACCTCTTGAAAGAGGTTAATTAATATAATTGGTTCACAGAAACATTCATTGATCACAAAATGATGAAGGTTATGTCCCTGACATATGCTCTAACAGTAAACTATACTCACCTGAGTTTGGAGAGTTGTAATAAAGGCTGAACAGGCTGTCAATTCCATAAGCTACACTTGGGACATTGTAACACTCAAACAACAACTCAGACATGGCTGAAAGACAAAGATCAAGGACAAATAATTAAATGAATAAAAGATGTAACAAATGGAACTAAAATGGATAGCAAACATATTTGCACATAGCCTGAATGTGAGATACTGGATGAAAAGCCTTTTCAAAGTCCTTGTGAGGTTCATTACCAAAACAATTCTCCACACCTAAGGATCAATAGTGTTGAATCACAAGCCCAAATGACTGCTTTGAATTATGTTTATTGTATATGACATCAATAATCTTACAATACTTACACTGTCGGCAGTAGTTTGGGTTACAAATTGGTTCTGTCATAACAATAGGATGATTGACACTTCCTGGTGTGTTGACTCCAAGGTGACTGAAGATGTGATCAAACACATACTCCTGTTTTAAAACATCATGCACAGTTTTACCATTACTATGCCAGTAACAATGCACCATGCAAACACTCAAATAAGGTATACATTGCAAGACTTTTCAGAGGGTGTAATCGTGGTGCATCTATAACTGACTCTTATGAGTGAACTGTAAGAATTCAAAATCTCAGGCTACGCTTGAGAATTTTCCCTCAATGTTGTACCAGCTGAGCTATAGGGACCTTGTTGTTTAGCTACACACACATAAACAACCATGTATTACAAGAGACAAGCCACCTGTGTACTGCTGAGATCAACAATACTGAATACAACCCATCTGAAGAAAGAGGCTTGATTCCTGATGATAGACCCTGATTTCCTCTGTGACACACAAATGTACTGTGAAAGATGTTTTAAGTTAACATCTCTCTTTTTCATTGACACTCAAAGTTTACTAATTTGGTTTCCATATAAAACCCTTCACTCCAATTAAACCGTTTAACTACCAGATCAAATTTGTAATTCTCCTTCCTATCAACCATACAATTCTTATAATGTTAGTTCAGAGAATTTAGTATTGAATCAACTAATTATTCCCAAATTGATATTTTTCTTAATTCTCATCTCTTATCTAGTTGATATTGTATTGATCTTGTAAGGAGAAATTCTGTCTTGGTCACTCATGGGAGTTAAAGGGTTAAACCCATCTACCTGGCACTCATAGTGTGTCACAACATCTCGATCAAACTGAGTCCTTAAGGCCCATCTGACCACCTCTAGGTTTCCAATATCATTCCCCACAGAGTAGCCAGCACCTGATGCATCCCCATCCTGAAAAATTACAGTCAATTTCACCAAATTTCAAAAAAGGGAAACCTTGAAAAGCATTAAAGTAAAAGCAGGGTGGACATGCATTAGAAAACAGCCATACTTACTTTCCTTCCTCTGGCTTTTGCAACCAGATTTCGGAAGTTCAATCTTGGCTTATTGTCAGTAGCCCACCCTGCTCGGCAGCAGTGTCCACCTGAAATTATAAATTGTATATTCATTTGGAAAAGATGTACAGAGGGAGTCCCAACAAGGGTACTCCTGTGAAAAATCTACTTAAAACCCTAACACTAAGTCTCTTTGTTCATTCTTGGATAAAAATACTCCTGTAGGCAAGACCCATTCACTGGTTGTGATAAACATGTAGTATTTCCTATGTTCAAGAGTTGACATTAAATCTTTAACTCCCAGAAGTGATTAACATAAAACTTCTCCTTACAATATCCATACATTATTCAGCAAACAGGTAATGAGAATATTCAAACTTATCAGGTAGAAGCTGCTATCTTGATCTAGCACCAAGTTCTCAAAATTAATTCAAAAGGAAATGTCTAGCAGCTAGAGGGGAGAATTAACAATCAGATCTTGGGAGTTAAAGGGTTAACTAGGAAAACTTATAGCCCCATATCTTATTGAATTTGGTTGGAGGGTGTGCTAACAAAATTTATGTGACTGATAGGATGAAGAGTGTTGCTAGTTTATATGATATAACCCTTCTTCCCTCGAAGGTTTAAAAAAATGCACTTGATTCATAGCATAAACTAAATTTACAGTGTCATAATAATACCTGTGTACTTTGCCTCAGCATAATCATAAGCTTTATCTTGGGCTCAAAAGTATGAACTCACCATTGTCAATAATTAGTGGAATTGAATTGTCTCGAATATTTGCTGGATAATCATAGAACGAATCTGGAGACGTCTCACAGTCTTGAAACCTGAATATCCGAGCATCCATATCTATATAAAGGAAAAATTCTCAAACATTTTCTTTGCACCTATAGTTCTAAGACATCATAATATTTTGAGTTGTGTAAAACCTTGACTCCATATTTGTGATAAAATGAGAAAATTAAGATGTTCTTACTTACCACTTTCTTCCGCCATTTTTTAGACGGCTTTGTACAACCGTACAGCGGAATGCATCCCAACCATGCTATGTGGTATATGACACACGAACTGTTTCAGCCAGGCGAAAACAAGTCGCCTTGATTTACTTTGTCCCATTTTGAATAATTCCATGCCAGAGCCAGTGTCAGATGACACTGGGAAAATGACCAAGCGTTTAATTCAAAGTTCAGCGAAAACCCAGACAAGGAACATATCTGCAAAAGCTTTGTTTACCATGTAAAAATTCAGTTCAGTTTTCCTTCTTGAATACTGCTGTAATGCGGCATAAATCGCAAGGTCTCCCTCAAACGCTCTGCTTTTGGGTTAAACAGGCATTTGCACCTGGTTGTTGAATTTATTTAATAACAAAGTTAAAGGAAAAAGGTGTTTGCGTGCATAGCGGAGAAACTTTCGAGGTGTATCTTGATTAGACGTCTTTTCGCTCATACACTCGATGTATGTTAAGGGAGAGTTTAATAATATCAAATGGCAGTGGATCAAAGATGAACCAAAGTAAAGGAATTAATGGACCAAAGTTTTTATTGTCACAAAGCGTCTCAACATTACGAAATTACAACGGTTACAGCTCCTAAAAGAAAATGCGACACCCCTGCAAAATGATTGCAATTCTACCAATACTTTCTAATCAGACCAAAACCGCCATAACCATTAATTGATAAGCAAATTAATGACTGCCTTCTTTTAGTTTTCAATATGTTAGTGATGGAGAGAAAATTGGAAACCTGACATACATTGAATATCACTGACTGTGAACGTACTGCCCACCTGAGTAAACGCAGTTCAATGAAGAAAAATAAATGCTTCAACACTTCAACACAGCAAATATGAAACAATTCCAACAAGCTTAGGTCCCTCTGGCGCTTGTTAGCAATCGCCAACATTAAGCTTAAAATTTATTTTTGAATTGCATACTCGGCGACCTCAGAGGTCAGAGCCCTCTTACATCTATGGAATCACAGATTAATCAGTTCAAAGATTAAGTTTGGATTTTTACCTGAAACATGTAAAATTTAGAGGCGAACTTAAGTCATGGATATATGTTTTCCACATCAAAATGTGCAGTAACATGATTATTCTTTACTCGATATAATTTAAACAAGAATCTAGGGTTGACAACAAAATACTTTCAATTACAAGCCACAGATTCTGTGACTATGTGTATGGAAGCTTACAATTAAAACTGTCCAAGTGTTGATATCTAAATGTAGAACCTTATTCTTTACTCAATACTACGTTCTTTTGATAGAGACGACGGAGAAATCAAGATTCTGCCCTACCGAGTTTTCAAGAAATTTTCTTTTCGGCTCGTCATATTTCTACGCTCTTGATTCAAAAACTGCAGAAAAACCCACTGACGGGGAAATCTAAAGCAGCTCAGGAATTCAGCACTCAATGTTGGTGTATTGTTGTTCAATGTTGACTGCTAATGAACTGGTATTAAAGCTCCAAGTGCAGTAATAATTGAGCTGGGTGTGCTCGTGTTCCCGTGTAACTACACCCTCTGTCTTCATGGAAACCACTTAGAATTGGTCATGTTGAACCTCACTTAGGATTTTAAACTGGATCATCAGGTGTCCTTCTGTTGGTGTTTCTTCTGCTCCTGTAGCAGTTGCTGCAGAGGGGACATGCCCTCCGAGGGAGGAGTGAAGTCGGAACCCCAAATGGACTACAATGCAAAAGGTTAGCATGTCACTATTTGTCAGAACTACATGTCAGCACACTTCTTTTGATGGCTGGATAATCCACAACAACTGAAGTGTCGAGAATTTTTCTTCTCCTTCGTAAGCTTTACTCGCCGCTCAAGTTTAGGTATAAGGTTAAGGGCATTAAGCTAGAGGGTTTTTGTAGACAAACATCGCTCAGTGCACATAATTTCTCGTGTCTCAGCCATAGATAGGTACACTTGTTGGCTCTTAACATAGCCCCGCAATGGAGGTGAGCCATAGACAAACAGCCACATGGAAACAACAAGATATAAGACCACTTCGTGATTAACCAATGGGCCTCAATATAATCGAGTATGATGGTAGCATAACCATATCATTATGTGTGGTTGGGGAGAGAGAAACATTTAATTTTGTTCACCTCAACAACAACCATTATGAGTTCCAATCAAACTTTTCGAATCCACACTCCGATTGATCTCACACGTACAAATTACACACTTTACGTCGGGACAAAAAAAGACAACAAAACAAACAACTTTACATGTAATCCATGTGCTCCAGGACTTGTTCCACCACTGCCACTGGCACTCGATGAATTTGGCGCCCAGACCCCAGAACTCCATCCACCACCGTAACCAAATCCACCAAAAGGAGACTGGGAAGGAGAGTTAAAATTTCCCTGTATCGCGGCGGGGGGGAAACTGGTTCCAAAACTGGTTGGTCTGCGGTTTTCAGGAACCGGGGGAGAAGGTAGAGTGGGTGGAAATACGGAACTGCTTCCGGTGGCCGAAGGTAAGTGGTCAGTCGGGGATACACGGTGATGTGTAGGCTTGGGAACAGGTCTTGGGGAAGGGTGATCTGCAGGTGACAAAAAGTCCATTAATAATTGAATATATTTTTTTAATTCCTTTCGTAATTTGCTCTCAGGTTATGGAAAGTGGGGGAAAACCAACGAAAGGATGAGTCAGGATTTCCAAACTGAGGGAAACTACCAACCCATTCTATTTATTCATTCATTTCTCTTCAAAAATCTGATTAGTAATCCCTGCTTTTGGCTATGGCACATATTTTCTTGTAAAGAGGAGTTGGTGTTTCATCAATATAACACCATCGTGTTGTTAAGTTAGTCGATTCACACCATCTGTTACCTTAAAAATCTTTCAATTTTACAGGAAGAAAAGGTTATACCTGGTTGAGACAGAGCCGCAGAAGTCAGGGGTACGTTCCATCCCGACTGGAATAGTGAGTATTGCGCTACTGTGGAGGGGGAGGGTGGGACAATTCCCGCTGAAGTCTGAACAACATCCAACGGTCCCTTGAACAAGGAGCTGTGGAATGAAACAAGAGGAAAATAAAATTCGAGTCAATAATTCATTTATAACTGCAGTAGTAAATATCACCTGACACTAAACCGTTTTGACAGAAAGCAACGGTCGGTTGATTAATGCACAACAATACTGTTTCTCTAAACCACTCTGTTCAACACAATTTAGAACTATATGGAAAGTAATTTCCAGGTTTACTTGACTCTCGCACTAAGGTCATTGAAATGAAATAGATATAATAACATAAAGCGACGATCAAGTTTAAGAACTGAATTCCTAGTCAAGCCTCATTCCAATGTAATCACTCCCCAAAATATCTAGTCCCTCGCAAATAATATCACGTGTACCTCTCGTGTTGCGTGAATGTTCGGGGTATAAAGCAAATAAACCTTTCGGGGTGTTTGTATTAGCATAATTCGCGAGACAGGACAATTTCTTTAAGGATTATCCTTAGCATTAGACCAAAATGACTTTGCATGGAAGGTGGAGGAGGAAGGAAGGGGGGGTGGAAGAGAGAGAGGGGGTGTCGGTCAGTCCCTTACTGTCAGTTTGGTCTTCTCTCTTCGACAGATATGGAAATATCGTAAATAATAAAGAGATTAGATATTACGTTTCGAATGTTTTAAGACATTCCTACCTCGTTTCAGCAAATGGTGTTCCTACTGGGGTCGTCTGAAAATAAAGTTATTGAAACTACCAATAAGAAGTTACCGCTACAATGGGGTTGTCACAGCTAAAAGAAATCTAATGTTTAAAGTGATTTATTTTTCAACATTGAAACTCGTTTCTATGAGAAAATCAGTCAAAAAGAAAGTGAAATTTTTATTATCCAAAATAAAGTTGTATATGACAACGCATGATCAAATAATGGTCTCAAGGCGACAAAATACTTCTCTACGCTTGATCAAGTCCCATACTTTGTTCAGGTTGGGCAAAGAAGCCAAAAGCTTTTGCCCAGCAGACTCCAAATCAATGTCTTGGGGTGACTTTGGAAACTTTTCTTCCTGCAATGAAACACACAAACTCTGTATTGAACCGTTCAGCACAATTAAAACCATAATTGTACTGAAGGTGAATGAACTGAATACCTCTTCGATGGGCGATGAAGTGTTTATCTTCAGTGAGAAGTGAGACAAGCCAGTTGTGAGATCCTCTACTTTGGACAAGACACTACAAGTGACAAAAAAAACAAAAAAAGAAAGATATTCAGCTACTGAGAAACTGAGAGTGTACTTTAACACTGTTAAAGACATCTGCAGCGACTGTCGAAAATAATATTGCATTGGTTTCTATTACTCCTCCTAATGATTGATATATAAATTCTCCCTTTCATCCTAACCAGTCAACCAATCATGACCTGGTTAGTCGCGTCTTCTTGAGCTTCTAATTTTTTTCTTTGAGTTCCATATGTCCATTTTGATTACTATGGCTTTGCAGTTACAACACGTAATCGAAACACGCTCAATGACATTATTCACCTGGCGTTATTCACAAGTCGATTTCCAAACCTGACCAGCCTACCAACTCTATGTACAGACTCATCTTCAGGTCTTGTCCTCTTCATACTGTAAGTTAGTTTCCTACAGGCGAAAGAAAGAACAAAACGAACCGTATCAGTCTGTCTGTCGTTAGAATTTACAAAGACAAGCTCTACGAGGAACTCTCGAGATCTTCTGAAACTAAGTCGGACGTAAGCTATGAGAACTAAAACACTTTATATTTCATGAATTTGCAAAACTATGAAGTTAAACACCACCTCAGAAGTCATGAAGTAACTGGAGACGTTCTTCCTAACCCTTTACACCCTAACATCAGCATGCACATTCTCCACACTGTTCTCTAAAAATTTCCTCAGGTACTGACAAGGAGAATTCGTTCAACAATGAAGAGCTTCTTCAGTTGGTGATCATTTCCTTTTTTTCTCATGACCTTCATGTGTGAGAGTGATTCTGGGATGACATTGTAAGAAAAAATAAGTGCTATTCACTCTTGGGGGGTTAAAAAGGTTAACGAAAGGAAACAGCTTCACAGTAACGGATTCATAAAGCAAAGCAGTAGGGGTAGGTCTTGACAGCAGTAAAAAAAAAAAAAAAAAAAAAAGAACAAAAAGAGTATCGTGAAACAGGTTTTCGTAGTGAACAATGAATTCCTAACTTCCAGGCCTGCTGAGAAGGAGACTGGCCTAGTTGGCTTGTATACAGCCATTCTGAGCTCACATTTGATCAGTAACGCATGTCTGACTAGGAAATGTCCCATACGTACCTCTGACTGACCCTAAGAGGTAGGAAGCTCTGCAGTTCCCAGTCTTCGTGAAGAGGAAGATCTGTAAACAAAACATCAACTATTGTGCATAAAAAGGAAACTTCGCATCATCAGACTACTAATTTCAGAAGGGATTTGTTATCGATAACCTAAAATGTTACCTTACGTCTCATAAACTTTCACACAAATATATTTAAAATAAGATGAGTTCCCTTACATGCGCAACCGGAAACTATGTTCTTTATAAATTCTAAAGACATTCACATTATCGAGGATCGAAAGAAATCTGGAGCAGCGTAACTTTTGCTCCACTACACTCTGTAATTGGTCTAGTAAAACCTTCTCAACCAATCAGATGGAAAGCTTCTTCTCGCGTTTCCCTTTGTTCTAATTACTTTGGAAACTTCATCAAAAAGTGCTCTGACGTGCAGCGATCATTTACAGCAAGGATTGGGTTTCCATTATAAAACAAGAAATGCACTGGTTTAACGGATGAAAACTCACCAATTTTCTCTGGAAGATGAGGGTGTGTCACTTGTAATAAGTTTAACAACGCTGCAAAGTCCTCCCACACCCTACGTAATCAAACATGCAAAAATAACTATGGTAAATCATATAAACATACTAGTTCAAAGGAAGAGGTTTTTTTTTTTAATAAAAGAGCACAAATCAAGCTGAACATAAGTGATGTCACTTAAAGTGCTCAGATACAACTACCGAAGAGACGAAAATTGTCCAAAATTAGATATAAAAATAATACAGATTCAGTGTTAAAATCATAGATATACTGTTTAATGGTGGATCAGTTAAGCAACAGGATAGTCTTGACGCCACTACCAAAAACGATTCTCACAAAATGTACATGGTAAACAAGCCTAATGTTCCTGCCACGAAAAAACTTCCTTACTTAGTCTTCTTCAGCAGCTGTCCATTCCAGGTGTTAGGAGATGAGCCCACCATCCACTGACATAACAGGTTCAAAGCTGGTAGAACATCACACCCTGCTGCAGACTGTTCCTTGGATGGGTCATTGTCACAGACATGAAGAACAAGGCTATCAAATAGCTCCACTGTAAGAAAGAACATTCAAAATTGGTCAGCCACACCCTTCATTTAGCTGCACACCTCAGTCACATACAAAAACCACACTTTCCACAAATTTAAAGAAAATAATATCACATTTTCTGTTCATTTTGCTAAATATCATGTACAAGGAGGAATCAGTGTTATTGTGAGATTAACAACAAAAATTTTCAGGCAAAATACCTGTAAACTCCAGAGTCATTTGCCAACACTCCTATAGAGAAAACGAAGAGGCAAATATGAATCAACTCATACAATCCATTTTCAGTCCATCACTGCCATCTTTCACAAAGTTACCATTTCACATTTATGTATCAACAATGCATGTACATAATTAGAGAAATGGAAAAATTATTCATAGCAGTGCTCACATGAACAGCAGTGTGATCTGTTTTTGTTTTGCCTGTCCAATAATGAAAATAAGATATATGCCTGTATTCTTTTTGTATTCTGTAATTATCATTTACTATCTTCTTTTGGAAAATGATTGTAATTTTTTCTTTAACAAACCAGCCAAAATAGACTATTTTGAGTATATGGCATGTCAAGTAAAACCATTCTATAAACCTCTTCATCCTTGCCAATACAATCAAACTCCTCCAGATCATCTCCCCCTCCTGTCCTGATGTGCCACAAAAGAAATAAAGTGATTGCTACCAATTTGGTTAGGAACTCAGAGGTAAATTTGTTCTCCTTCAAGATCCCCTGGAAATAAGAATAAATTAATAGGTAAATCTGAAGGATACTAAGAGACTGTTTAAGACTTAAGGAAGAAAATAAGTAAATTATTTATAGTTTCTAAAGGAATTTGAGTTAATTTTCTCACTTTAAGTGCAGCAACAACACGATCTTTCAGAATTCTTGCTTGATCAAAATCTGTGGTGAACAAAATCAAGAAAAAAATGCAATGGGCATATTTTTATCATTGCTTTAACTTTATAACTACCCATGAATACAACTTGACACTAACATTAACTAAATGTCAAACATTCTTGCCCTGCATTCCATAGGGCACGACATGGGAACAACATTACTTTTCAACAAAAACAAGAAACAGAATGCGCTACCTTGAGCAAGATACATGAGGCCATGAAATTGTAGGAAAATATGGCTAAACTCTGCCTTGGATATGTCTGCAATGCCATCTCTGAAAAAAAATACAAAATACAAATTTACTGTAGATAATGACCTGAGCTGTGAACATGTTAAGTTTAAATTCAACATTTTAAAGCTCACATTTGATGTCAAATACAATTCAATGAACTGAATTTTAATTAATTTGATTTACTTTTATTTATCATAGACCAAATTTGAATTAAACAAAGATATCAATTACTAATAATATTATATACCTAGTAAATAAAATCAATACATTTTAACTCTATCATGAGACATTACCACTTCCCTTACCTTGTATTGTGCCTGGAAACCACTTTGCTCAATGTTTTGTGAAGATTTGTTGATGCAGCTGGGAATGGATTCTTAACAGCAATGCTGAAAAATATTAAACATAGCTAGTACAGGATAAATTAAAAAATGACAGGAGGCAATGTGGCTATTCTGCTGGTCAGTCATTCATGTCCCTTACTCTCTGTTCAGCCTCCTGCCTTGAGCGATTTTGGAACTTAAACTACTTTATGTTAATTTAAAATATGAGTTGTTACATAGTGTTCATTGACTGTATGGTTCTATCAGAGGAGTATAACTAATGTGTACTGTATGATCATCATTGTAATAAGACAAAAAATCAACTATATGACAGACTCCAAAGGTTCACCATCACTGATGTACATTAAATATTGATTCCACAGAAAACTTATCTTTATATCAATAAAGGGGGTAAGTTCAAAAGAAACTGTGGTGCTGTGTCAGTGGGAGAGTATAAACAAACTGGACACTGTAAAGCGTTTAAAAACTGATTTTTCAGGTGTTAGCCCTTCATTAGAGCAAAAAACAAAGGGTTAACATTCAAGACGTCAGTTTTGAAACTCTCTACTGTGGCCAATTTATATTATGAACTCAGTTGATAATACCAAATTATCCTGTTATCGTTATATCAATTTACCTCCTACAGTAGTAATACACAGTACCCAGCTCATCTCCTTTACCACTTGCTAGAATGGCCAACTGGTTGTATGGTTGACCTGATGAATAAATAACAAGTCAGGTGCAGTTTCATTAAACAATGTGAAACACAGTTGTTGGTAGTGTGTGGTGTCTGTTGCAAGTAATGGGAAGTTTTCACTGTTGGTTAAGTACGGACTGTAGCTTCCATCTACTTATTTCCAAGACTTTTCAAAGTAGTCTTTATTCAATTTGAAGCAATTCATAAGAGAAAATAGGTTTTCATTACCATTTGATGGCACTAATACAAGAGCATGATGATAAAACACTTCAGCCTGCTCAGGGTCATCACAATAACGTGCTGCACAAGAGAGAGAGAGAAATAAAATGTTCAATTGCAGGAAAAAAACAGCATCTCAAAATAAACTCAAGCCAGCTGGGGAGTGCCATTCAAATATCAAGTAAGCACAAGGTGTCTCAGTATCACAGTTTTTTATTACTCTCTGCCCAGTATTGATTTTTTTGGAAAGTTGTTGCTCTGCTACAAAAATATTATTTAAATCTTTTGAATAGGTACAACCAATGTTAAGTGCTGCAAAAAACTTGAAAATCCATCACATTCTTAATTTAAAATCTTCATTAACACTGTCTACTGTTAGTAGAGCCCAGTTTCCATAGTCTTGCGTCAGTTGTAGTAATGGCTTAAAATTCAGAAACAAATATTGAACATTACAGGAAATTAACCCCAAAAATACCATGGCAATTAAACCTTGCTTCCTATGAAACATTTGACTTGTATCTCATCAATTCAAGAATATTTAAATCTGCTAAACATTAGGAAAATATTTGCAATTATGGAAACAACATTTGGTTAGTGGCCTGAGTACACTTCACTTCAGAAGGTGATCAAGTTCTAGGCAAAATTGTCTATAATTAGTCACAAAGGAAAATTTTGGGCAGGATACTTACCAATATCTCCTAAGTGGACCAGACAGTCTTGGCAGATATAATAACAAGACTGAGTGTGAGGCTTCTTCACTGGACTACTGTTGCCATTGATTTCTGGAATGAAAGTATCAAAGAAATATTATGACAATGGACATGGAGGCTGGGTCCACATTTGGACCCTGGCTTGGATCATGGAATCTTGAGCAGGATACTAATTCTTCACACTCTATAATTAGTATTCATTTTCTCCACACTAATCTCTCTACATCTCCTATGATAATAACAACAAGAATTTGTCTAACAATCAAGTTCCTTCATCATTATGCCCTTTATGTTTGATTCAAAGGTAATATTGTAAGGAGAAGAGAGATACAAGTCAGGCCTTTAGGTGCCTCTCTGCACTCAAGTAAGCCTTTATACAGGCCCAAGTGGCCCATGGGGCCAGTGCTTAACTCTGGTTTTCTTAGCGACAAGGAGTATTGCTATTCCCCCCGGGATGGGATGCCAGTCCAGTCGGGTGAAGAGAAGGACTGTGAGAGTAAAAGCCTAAGAACACAGGGCTCAGACCCAGACCACCCGATCCGGAGTCAAGCGCACTAACCATAAGGCCACTGCGCCTCCTCTGCACTAAAGAGGATAAAGTTATAATAAACTGGCAAAACATCATAGACATGTAACTGGCTGCCTCATGAAATACCTGGAGTGGTCTGGAATGAACTGACAACCTGTCCATGAAGGAGCCATTTCATGCTAAGGGATTCAGAATAAGCTGCAGTAGCAGTTGTTCAATTCAGTCTCAGAAGCAGACTTTTTTTACCTACCTTCAAGAATACCCAGCTGTGATGACCTGACATGACCAGGAATGTCTAGCCTGTATGTCAGGCACAACTCCTGCAACAGCTGTTGAGAAAAACACAGAACATTTCATCAGGTAGAACTGTGACATCCAAAAAAATCCTAAAAATTTCCCTTTTAAACAAAGTCGATAAATTCAAATTCAAAAGAGAGAAAAATAGAACAAACACAAAGAAAATTTTTTAGCTGCATCAGAAGTTATTTGCCAAGAGACTCAAATGGCTTATTTCCCCACCTGAATATAAAAGCCACTGGCAGCTTCAAGAAATAAGGTCAAAACAGCCTGGACCTCCAATTTTTTGGAGCCCTAGAATTCAACATGAAATTATGAATTAAAATCAAATGGATCAAGCAATTTTATCTGCTATGATCTTATTATGAGTTCTCCCCTCTTATTGCTATACATTTCGCATAAAATAACGTGAGAGAGTTTGATGTTGTGTCAAGGGAACATCATTTAACTGATAAGCATTCTACGCCCATTAATAGCTGTGAATGTTTGAGCACTGTGGCAGGTTGTCAAAATTAGCCGCCAATCTGGAGCATTTCACCATCTACTCTGAAAAATGCACCAGCCATTCCAATGTTTTGTGGCTCAATTTTCAGCATAAAAGCATGTAATTGTGCTGCCTACTTTATATTTCAGTCCAGTTACTCAAAATCTCTTCGACAACCCTGACTGAGGGGATGTCTTAAGTGTTAGGAAAAATCATATTGTAGATTAAAGGACATGAAAGCCATCAAATTTTTTTTTTAAATCTTGATGTAGCAGTGTTCTAGAAATATTTGCAACATTTTTAGTGTTCTGAGTTTGAAATTCTCCTGTTACAGTCGACTCTTGCCCTGTGAACACCTTGTTATTATGGACACCCACCACTGAGGACAAGAGCCAGCCCTTCAGTGAAATGTAAATGTATAAAGAAATGACTTAAATAACTCCCGTTATTGGGGGCTCTCACTATTTTGGAAATGGGGGTACTTTCATGCCCCCCAACACAACATTTCACTTGTTGTCTTCTCTCATTAAGGAGGACACTTCATCCAAAATCCTGACTCACATAATATAACACAACATTATGATAAAGGAAAAAAAAGAAACCATTCTTCAATTGGGTGCAAAGAAAATAATTTCCTGCTTGGAGCCGGATTTTTTCCAGGTTGTGAGGGCCACATTATATACTTTATGTTTGTATATTTACACATGATTTCATGTGTTTAGAGACAAAATTTTTTTTTCTCTTGTACCCTGCTATTACAGACTCTCACTATTACAGACACTAAATCTTCCCCCAAGGCTGTCTGCAATAACAAGAGCTGACTGTAAAGGGCTAACTGACATGAAATACCATCAATATGTTAAGCAATCACTTCCCAGAGTTAGAAAGTTAAATACTATAGTTACCAGTACCTTCCTTTCCTTCGTTTGATGTCTTAAAAAGTCAATCTGGCTTTTAAAAGCACTGTTCCACCTAAAATTTCAAGGAAAATATAAGTTATTTTAGTTTAAATCATTAGTGCACAAAATCAACATAGCTTGACACAATCAGTAACAACTCCAGAGAGACACAAAACTGTCAGACAGTCTTAGTTGTTGATTGGCTCTCATAGATAAGCAATTAGTTATAAAAATGATTCATTTTTTAATTCTTTTGAATTTGCTATTAATGCTGGCATTTTGACAACATGAAAGTAATATCAGGTATACTAATTTAACAAATAACTTACAAGTCTTGTTCCACCTTCTTGTCAAGGGCAGACTCTAAGTCTGTTAGCAGGATACTTTTGTACAAATCTTGTAGTCTGGCAAAAAAAAAAAAACAGACCATCTAATGAAATGTTCATGGTAATTAGGAATTTTCTTTCACTCTTTTTAAAAATACTTTTATGATTGGCAACATTTCTGCATTTATAAGATAAAAATGAATTCCAAATGTCTGGTCTCCCTAAGTTGTACCCAATGTGTGATATGAAGAACTTTTGGGACCACTGGAATTTTTCAGGGCCACAGAGATTTAAAAAAAAAATTCAAAAATCAAGAAAAAAAATCAATCTTAAAATATTTCTGAAGAAAGGGAAGAGTGTCTCTAGTCAGTTGGTCAATCATTCAATGAATTAAGCATCAGTCCTTGATACTTCATTTTTGACACCTTTGGGAGCAGTTGGTTTATTCCACACATTAATATGTGTATATTAATTACACCACCAATATATACAGTAAGTAATGAAAACTGACCTACTCACAAGTAGATTTGTGAATTCAAAATATTTCCATCCAAAAAAAAGCCATAATGGTTGAGTAAATATTTGTTTAAGCAGAACATTACATTGCCAGGTCCAGTAACAAAATATTCATGGTAACTTAGGTCAAAAATTGTTTTTAAATCTACCTCTGCCTAGACTGCCATCCTTCACTGCCAACAGCAAAATCTTCAACACTGCCTAAAGAAAATTAATGTCCTTACTGAGTAAGTCATATAAGTTGGCTGTCTTTCATATATGTCATTATTAATTAATGCATGATGAAAACTGTTATAGTATCTTGTACTAAATGACATTTACCTATGCACTCAACACTGGAAACCTCTAGTAGGGGGAAATACAGGGCATTATCCACAAAGAATACGAGTACACCAGGATACAACCCAGCCTAAAGAGGAAATACTTCTGCAAAAGTCCACACCCCATGAAATAATTCCTCACATGAAGGAGGTGGCAAAGAAGAAATTAAAGAATTCCTTGAGAACTCAAACAGCTGACAGACATATTCAAGCTAAGTGCATAACCCAACTACATACTAAACTATTGTTTTCTTGACTAGAAGATGGAAAAATTATCACTTTGTTTTTTAATAAGAGCTGGTTAACACATCGAATCATTGTTTCCTTTCCTCCTTGTTTTCGATCGGTATCATCATCCTCTTTGAGTCGAGAAAGAAACTCATAGACACCTCAGTAGGACTAATTAATATAAAACCAAAAGATATCGAGTTTGTTTGGAGCCTTAAGATACTCAAACTCACAAACAAATAAAAAGAACGAGGCAACACTTGAACATTTCCTCCAGGAAATAGATTTCTCATATTTTAAAAGCCGTAACGCAGCCTCTTGAAAATAAAAGCTTTTCAGCTCTAATTGTAAACAAAAAAGAAAAACAAATGAAAAAAAAAATTGCAACTGTTTTCCGCATATACAAAACTTACTTTTCAAAGCGGCTTTCAATGTTTCCGCTTGCCTGTTGAAAATAAAAGGGGTAGAATGAAACAATGGATAATTAAGCATAATGTTCATAAGTATTATTTTACAAAATTCAAAATGAAGAATTGAAAATTTTTACCGTAAAACTTGGGCAACCGACCCAAGGATCGGCGCCATGTTCAGATCATCATTCCGCTGGACAGAGTAACTTCACCGCGGTCTCGTTCAAAATTTCACACCTGTCCCCTTTCCCAGGAGTCTTTTTGTTTTTTAATTACATTCATTTTGAAATCACTAGTGATCCTTGAAATCTGATTGGTTCTCATTGGTGCGATTTATTTACGATTCGCATCATTTTTTGCTCCAAATCACATCTTTTTCCCTGCCAGTGAGAAAGTCAATCGCTCGTTCAAGGAAACCACGCGATTTAAAAAAAAATGAAAAAAAACAACCTTCGCAACTTTGCAACTTTCTACAACCCTGCTCACTATTGGATCAACAAAACCTTTGTAAAGACTAAAAACTCCGTCATCTGAGCGACTGAATTTTTCAATTTTAAAATGGATGTAATGAAGTGGTAATTGAACACCGTGTCGTGCAATCACACTTTTGATTTCAAATCATGCATTATTATGATTTCAGATTTAATAATACGTATGCAAAAATTTCATCATGCTTATTGGCTGAGAACACGTCAATTAATTCCAAACAGAGCAGAAAGTTGAAATTGAGTGCAGAAAGTTGAAATTGAGTGCAGAAAGTTGAAATTGAGTGCAGAAAGTTGAAATTAAATTTATTGACAGGTAAGTTGCGAAAGCATAACAAAACAAAATGGCAGAAAAATGAGGGGATAGAAACAACGTTTTAACCCAGAGTTTGAGGGAGAAAGCTAGAAACAAAAACGCCCAGCAAAGAGAATCCAACTGGCTAGAAGTTTGGCCTCCAAAGTCCCGAATTTTTTCCTTAATCACTATAATTTTTCGTCTTTTAAGCCGTCACCTCTATTCAGCTGCCGCGGTCACCCTTAACTAAGTCCCAACAGCTTTTTTTTTATTGTCCTCCGCCTGTATTGAACAGTCTCTGAAAGCGGGACTAATCAAACAAAACTAAGAATAATCTTTCAAGTAATTTTTGATCCATCTATCTCTCCCAAAATCAAAGTAAGTAGTGCTATTTGCAAGCGAGATTCTGTCAAAATGTGGTCAATTATGGCATAATATGGCATTGTTTATCGTTTTTCTAAATACCCCTAATCTGTGGAACCTATGTATAACGGTTAACCTATATTAAGCAGTCACCCCACCATTTCCCGGGTACTGTAATGATAAAATTACCCGGTATCCTCCCCCTCCCTCCCCCCCCCCGAAAAAAAAGATTGGTACGGCGTCAGTGTAGGACCTACTTACAGGAAAATTCCGCCCATTTTCGTGGACATGAAGCAGATTCAACTCTAAAGCGACATGGAAGAAAGACTCGACAGCTAAATGTCCGGGTGCATGGTAAGAACACACGATGGCTCGATATGAGAGTTCTCTGGGTTGTGTTCCTAACACGACTTTGCTCTCGTGGTGTTCTCAATGGCGCGTTTGTAGGAAAATGGACGTTAGTGACATGACCTTGTGCAAGAAATGATGTCACTTCTTTATAAAAGGTCAGAGGTATCGGTAAATTGATGAATGTAACGATTTATTTTCACTATCATAGATATAGAATAAAACAAGGTATGATATTGAATAAATAGGTTATATTTTCGTTTAAGTGAAACTAAGATATGTTTACGATCTAGGCGAAGAAGAACCCGTTATCTGTATTAGGGTTACAATTGTCTTATATTATAGATGACGTTTCCATTTAGATGCACACGGCACCAAACTAAATAATGCAAAAAGTACGTTACGGAAATACAGCGCACAGTTCAAGTTGGCAAGACTGTGGGCTCAATAAACCCTTTAACCCCCGATAGTGACTAGCATTTCATTTATCCTTACAATATCACCCTTGATTTTAGCATTAAGGTCAGGAGAACAAAGTAAATGATCACCAACTAAAGAAGCTTTTTGATTGTTAAACAAATTCTCCATGTCAACAGCGTAGGAGGTATGGAGAACAGTATGGAGAATATGCATACTGATGTCAGGTTCCAAAGGGTTAACAACCGCTTTTTGAGAATTGAGCCCGCTGTGGGTGATAGATTCTGGTTCTAGGAAACTTTAACGCCACACAACCGAAACGTTTTACTATGTATGGTTCCGCGGTTGTTCAAGTCCGATTGACAAAAGACAAAAATAACTTTCACCAATACATGCGAAAGAAGGAAACATGAAACATGAAACATGATCATTAAGAATTAGTTTCCCTTTGATCTTTATGAGCAGCCCCGCCTAGCTTTTCAGGCCTTATGAGTGCGAACAAAAAATCGCCGCGCAAAAATTGGAAACAGGAGTCACCCTGTCCTCATTTACCGCCCCACACACCATGTCTTTGCGCGGCTTCTTTTCGCTCGTTCACTTTCTTCTTTTGATTCGAGTTCAATGGATGTCTTAACATTATTGAAACGTGAAAGTGTCAATTGCTCATTTCTTGGTTGAAAGTCGTTTCGTGCAATGTGCACTAAATCAGCTGCGACGTATTCATGATAAATGAGATATTGCACGTCGAAGTTACATGGTAACTAATTGCACAATTTTCAGATGACTGTTCAAAGTGGCAAGGATATGCGTCGAGTTCGTTTCTACCGATACGACCAAACTCAAAGAAAAAAACGAACTCAACGATTTCAAATGCAACAACTGAGCAAGAATGCTTTTGATCTGTGCAGGAAACGAAGTCATGACAATTTAAGATGCATAGTATCTTCGCTTTGTCTTCATGTTCTATCTGTCACGCAAGGCTACGCTCTTTCCCGACAAGCGTAACGTTGCGTGACACAGAAAAGGTCATAACGATAGCCCAGCTCAAACGTAGTAAATCCCTGCTTTGGCTTTCAAACAGTCTTAAGAAAATCATTATTTTATCAAAAAATGAATTAAAAAAACCACAGTTAAAAACTCGATTATCCCATCAGTATTTCTACCCTTTGCTTCAGCATCGTAACCCCATCCCATAGTCTAATTGTTACATAATTTTAAAAAAGTAACAAATAAAAACATTTTGACTGCATCAATATTCGAAGAAGTACGTTAAACAAGTGTACTTGTGGAAAGGCTTAATCCTAAAAAATCTCTCTTAGTTCCCCCGTCAGGAGTCTTGTTGATTTGGCATACACTACTCGCGCCTAAAAGAAAAGAGTACCCTTAGTTTGTTCCTCCCGTCGCCGAAAAATCCAGTCTGACTTTGTGATTTTGTTTTCTTTCGATTGCATTACAAATATTAAAGTCGTATGTAAGAATACAGAACCGTCTGTAGAGGATGATAGAATCATGTTGACGTCCTTAGGTGTCTATCTTCGTCTGATCCGCTTCCTTCAGAATTATTATCATCATTATCATCATCTTCGTCGTCATCTTCATCATCTCCTCTGGGTTTTTCGTTATTTTCTTTGGCATTTGGGTCTTTACAAGAACATTCTCCTAGTTCACAAAGATACGAACGGAGAACCACTCTGTCACTAGTAGTCGATTGACAGCAGTCCCCTTCATCCCAGCGACAGTGGGCATTATTGTTCACCGCATCACACCAACCGTCTTTCATGTCCCCAATACGACAACTGGGAACACATCGCAACTTCGAGGGGTCTGGGAACCAGTCAAGTTTCATAGTGCATTTTAAAGACACTTGCCAATTACCTTCGTCATCCTATAAAACGAATGAAAATGCGTTACTATGGCTTTTCAGTGCAGTACATGTAGATTGGCAGGCGGTTCACTATTCCTCAATTAAAAAACCAGCAACGCTCATAGTAACATTTCCCACAACCATTCTCCCACAATTTATGATGCAAATAGACTGAGTAGAGTCCAATACGGTCTCTGATCATACGAGTGATTAACAAAACTAAAAGGGACGCTGACTTCCGATTTGCTAATCACGAATATAATTACAGACAGAATTGGACGAAAAGAAGTCTGTTTACCCATTAATCAAAACTACATGTAAGTCAGCATTTGAGAAACAAACTAACCATCGATTATGCGTTTTCATTTATAAGAAAATAACAACAGTTAACTCGGAAAATGCAAGGCAAAGGCGTACACCAACGCATAGACTAATGAAGATAAGGTTGATCTTCGCAGTAATGACTAAGAGACTAATGGTGGTTAAAGCTTCTCAGAATCTGATTATTAAATTCTAGCCTGGAACATAATCAAAGATACGAAAGGAACGATCAGGCAAAGTCAAGCAAAAGAGAAAACATGACACTGTGAAATGCGACACTTACAGGGTCCACAACATCATTCGTGACAGTTTCACATCTGGGCTTGCATGTGTCTCCAGGGAAGTTGTCATTGCAAAGGAAGATGATCCCTTTCGCTTCAGGCTTTGAACACCGACCAGCTGTAATACAACGCTTTAGAGGTGCACTCCACTTTCCGGTTTCTTCACATTTGACTTGGTGAACCTGGACATAGGATTTGCCAAAAGAAAGTAAGATCAAGTTTCATGTTTAGCTCGAGTGCAAATATCGACATAAGGGTTATCACATTTTATCATCCTTTTAAGGTTAAGAAATACATATATATTTCAATCCCAATTTCCATTCCTACACATTTTCGTTCCACCAAGGACTTTTTCAGGAGTCGTTTTGGCCACAACTGACCAAGTTGACCAGCGCAAAAACAACAGAGAGACTGGATTCAAAGCCGAATGCAAACGTGAATGTGAAAGAATAGATGACATTTTGGCGCAGTCATTTGCGCCACAAAAAAGCACCGAGACCGTTACAACCCTACACTACTACTATATCGTTACATTCAGAGGGAAAAATATGCCAACAGATTTTAAGATAAAAAGTAGTGCGCACCTCTTGTCCTGGACAAAAACTCGTGCAAACACTACCCATGGCGTTACCATTGGAGCAATTATACCACATAGCCATCACAGAGATGGATGGACACTTGGTAGGTTCGCATACAGGCTGTGTCCACCGACCACTCTTAGTACAGCGCATCTTAAAGATCTTCCTCGCACCGTCGCTCTCCTTCACACTATAGCCAGACTTACAATGATATTTACAAGACGTGCCTGGAAACAGAGTTCTTTTGCCATCAGAACAGTCGTTCTCTCGAGGAAAGCTGTTTGCTGGTGTTACAGGGTGTGGACACGTCATGACACAGTGCGCTGTTTGCGCGGACCACTTGCCGTCCTCTTCGCACGTCACGCTTCCTTCCCCCGCGCTCATTTTAGTCTGCTGCGCGCACTTTATATAGCATTTCTTACCAAACGTTTGACCATGTGGGCAATCTAAGAACAGATAGGTATACTGATGTTGAAGTCACAACAGGAGTGTGGAAAATAGGTTCTTTAAGTGCTCGTGGTCTACCCCCCTTCTCCAAACCTTCAATATAAAATCATCTTCAAGCAAGAAAACATCTTGCTTGCTACATTATCCCAATAGAACGTTACTTTCCTTGTGGTAAACCTGAGTCAGCGACCTTAATATCATGCTGAATATTAGGACTTGGTGTCAAATAACGAAGACATCCTGCCATGAAAATTCTGTGCATTCTTGTTAAACGATGATGCCAAAAGCAGCAAAGAAAGGAAAAGAGGCTAAATAAAAATAGTAAATCGATTTTCTGTCAGATGCTAAGCTTCACGAGTTGAATGACTTAGCTCAGTTCTGTCCACTTAAAAATCAATACGATAATCTTATCACCACTTTGTTCCCAGATTCTCTCTTTCTCTCCCAAACACCCTCAGGAACGAGAGAACCTGGGAATAGAGTTCACTGCATCAAAATTTTGACTTAATGAAACCACCCGATCCAAAAAAAAAATGATAATAGAAAATATGAGCCAAAAATGATTGACAGTTTTCATTACTAACCAGCCTTTCCGTTAGGGATTCTTGGAACGCCACAGTTGACAGGCACACAAGCCCTAGTGATCCCTTCCCATTTCTTATCCAAACACATAATTTTGAAAGGCCTAAACGGTCGGTAACCTGGCTTACAAGTCACTGTACAAGTCTGCCCTTCCACGGTCCCCTCGCATTTGACGCTGCCATGCTTGACCACAGGTTTCTGACAGGATGGCCTCTCGCAGTCGTATTTGTGGCACTGTTGTGTGTGGGGACTAAACACCTCGTCCGATTTGCATCTTGCCATCTCTACTACATCGAACTGCGCTCTAGAGCGCAGGGCCACGGCAGCTATACTGACCAAGGGAGAGGTGAAGCTGATATTTACTTTACGGACGTAAAAGAATGGCTCTGTCATGTCATGATAAACTGGGATGACTGCTGGATTGGTCTTACATGAAACATTCGTCCTCTGGTTTCCCGCGGACATGACGCGGCCATTCGTGCCTATCAGCTCAACTTTGACGTTCTTGTCATGAAAATCATATTCTCCTTTACCTTCGGAGCCGAGGTAAAGCACTATTGCAGCGGGCACGACCGATCGGTTGAAGGTGACCTCCAGCCAGTAGTTACCATCCCTGAAGAGGGTGCGTCTTCCCTTGCAAGGACCCCATGCGAATTGATATTCTTTGTCAAAACTGCCCTGACAAACCTGTGTAAGGATGTGATAACTTTAATTAGTCTTCGCAAGAAAGACTAAAGAAAGATATTTCCTAGGTCAATACGTTTGTAATCGCCAAATTCATGTTTTATCTTCAAAATAACCTATTGCCCCCATTGCTTCTCAGTCTTCCTGTAACAAATAGCCAAATTCACCGCTATGGCACTAGAATAGCCCGTAATTTGGAACTTCCTTCATGTATTAGTCACTCGTTCGTCAAGTCTTCTTAGCTTAAAGAGGAATATGCTCAAGTTTTTACTAAAATAACCACTTAATTGGGCATGCCGCACATTCGCGGCACTTATTTTTTCAAATACACATATATTATTGAAAGTGAGGTGACCTCTCCCATTAGCCTAGTGGTTTCTTGAGGTCTTCTCGCCTCCCTGTCACGGTGCTGTAAATTTATTTATCGTTACTGTTGATAAAATAGCAGATAAATGATGATGATGACATTGTAATTCGTTACCAGATCAAAAGGCGGTGGTCCCAGGACGACGCTTTCCGGGGGGCACTTGCTCTCGCGGTAATTGGGATTAACTGTCACTGATACAGCCCACTGATCTTCAAATCCTTCAGGAGTGTAGAACCCACAGTCCTTGATGCTGGTTTTTTTCTCAAATTGTTCACATATTCCGTCTCCATCATGGCGATAGCACAAACTTGGATGACCTGGAAAAGTTCAATCTTGTCAGTTCCAAACATGACCCATGGATACGATGGTTCTATAGCTATCGTTTTTTATGACCATCAAATGGATTAGGGAGGACTTGATGTTACCGTAACTTATAATTTAAGCGTCAAATCATCAATTAAATCTCTTCTTACTTTCATTGGCACTGAGAGGCAATACATCAAAATTCCTTCTAATGATTAAGGTAATGCAATTTCACACTCTATGACCGATAATGTTCAAAGTTGCACTTCGTATGTAGTCTCATTTGCAAACCATACGAAGTTAGTCTTAGTGCCAGTTCTAAGGCGTGAGATATCCAACAATGGAACGCGATACATTGAAGCATTGAAAAATAAACCTAGACAAGCTTTAAAAGAAAGCGCTTGAAATTTGTAAAGGACAAAAGGACACGGGGAATCTCTTGGTCCCAATGATAAAAGGACACATTGAGTTGTAAACAAGTATTTCTCACATCCCGAAAATAAAGATAAAACATTCACATCGCGAACAGTGCTGTGAAGTACATACACAAAAACATGGCATTCACAATCCCGAAGGATTTTAGTAATTTTCTAAAAATGATAACAAACCTATTTTTCCACCCGTGACTAAGCTCTAAGAAAGCGAATGTTGTTTTCAGTGACATTCAAGTGGATTATTTCCTTCCTCTCAGCAAAAGCGCGTCTTTACGTAGAATAATTGTAACTCTAGTAGTTGAAAAAATAGCTCTAAAAACAGATTCAAGGGCTTATCACAAAAACCTTCTAAATTAAGTGGGTGGTTAGGGAAAATGTGTGCAACTCCCGGGTGATTTAGTTACGAGGACAATGGGAAAAAATCGGAGAGTTTACTGCTAAAATTAGGAATTCTTTTGCTAAAACCTATTCTACATACACACTCACAAACAATTGTTTTTGGAGCCGATCCTCCGCGTGGGGCATAAATCTCTATCACAGTTCCATTCAAACTGTTTCTAGGTATTCAAGCAAGCCCTTTTTTCATCCGATTATAAAATACTGATCACCGTGTGATCTTTTGTTAGACGAAATTGAAAAGAGGAGTTAATCTGTTCATTCTGTAATTTCAACCATAACTCTAAATCTTAAGCTTTTCTCTTACAAGATCAACTAATTGCCCTTGCTCACATCTTACTCTGCTTCGTTAGCTTTTCATGAGACTAAAGGTTTTGTTATCTTTAAACATGATCACCTGACCACAGATGTTCAAAGGGCAGATGACGGTATCCAACGGTTAAATCACTCTCTAACGAATAAGTGTCGAAAAAACTTTCCGCACTATCAATCCGATGGACATTTATCTAGTGGATAGTTTCATGCGCCCTTCGAAAATTAATTAACTTTCTGGCCTCTTTTCAAGCATTTAGTTTGTAAGCGGCGCGCGTTAGAACTTCAGAGCGAACAAAGAGGGAAACCTTTCTCCCTTCTACGCCCAACGCCACTGACGCCCCGGTTTACTATTTTCGTAGTTCTATTAACTTTCTCAGCTCTCACTACCTACTTGCTTGAATTTTTTACGGAAAAAATTTACAAACTGGGAGTCAAAAAAGAAATTTTTTGCAGACTTGAAAGGGCGAGACAAAGTACGGGCAACAGAAAATGAGCGCGCAGGATACTCCAGTGCTGAATTTTTTTATCACTTTTGCGAGAATACCTCGCGACCGCCAGACAAAAGTTGAGCATCTCTATTATCTAAAATAAGATCTTTTCAAAAATAAAAACAGTTCCAATTCTTTCAAACGATAATGTCTCAGAATATCACGGACAAAACCTTTGTAACTGCGTGGCTGGCAATTTTGTGTGTACAAAAGCAATGAGCGGCCAGAGGTTTGAGGCGGAGATACATTTTTTCTGCTCACTGCTTCACTACTCGTCTGTTCGCGCACACAAAACCGCCAGCTACAAAGGATAAACTGGTCTTTGCCATCACTTGTCGACTAAATTCCTGAAGACCACCTTGTTGATTTCGGACAGTGTGTGCATGTCTAAGCTAATCAAAAACGTAGTCATTAGCTAAGACTTTAAGCCGGAAGAGATCCATTTAAAACACTGGATTACGTTCCATCCTTGTATACATTTCAAAGTTCTGCTCTTCTCAAAATCTGTTTTAGAAATTCTAAGAAAATGATGAGCAAACAGTCCAAGTGCAACAGCTGGCACAACTCAAAGGTATACAAACGACAATAAGTATTTGAGATAAAGCCGTTAGGAAAAATCCTGGTAAGAGATACCTGATGAATTAAGCTGAAGAAATGAAAATAGCTTTCAGCCCGTGAATCTTAAGATCACATTTCAGAAATACAGATTATCATTTTTCTTTCTTAGTTTTTTGTGTTGTTTTGTTTTGTTTTTCTTTTGTTTTTTTTGTATTTTTTTTTGCGGTGACCATCTCTTGAAGTAGGTAGAGAAACACTTTGTTGCAAGCATCTTGGCACGTATTCATTGCATGTAAAATCCCACAAAAAGCTTTTGTTATCTTTATCTAAGCTTCTTATTGGCTCATTCTGTTATCCTGGCATAATTTTTCTTTCGAGTTTCAGTTCACCTGAATAGGTGCTCATATGAGCTTTTAGGTCTCAGTTCAGTTCGATTAAATTGTCTAATCGGAGGGACTCGAGGAGCTCGCAGATGATGGATGATTAGGTTCCTAACCTTTACGTGAAGGGCCTATTTAAATGGAAGGGGAGAAAAAGAGGCTCTTTTTTTAAGACTAGGTGCTAAGCCTGAAACGCTTTCTCTTTCGTAAGAATCAGCGACTAATTTTAGTGTTTGCACTACAAATGATTTGGGTGGGCAGAGTGTTGTCAAAACTGAAGATTTTAGGATTATTTCATAGATATACTATCTTGTTATATTTTATCGACAAGCAAAGATTACGCTTCATTTAAATTCCATAAAAAACGGCGGCGAAGATACGTCCACCAATTAACGTAATGCGATTTCACACTCGAAGATTTTTCCGCAAAGTTCAAAGCTCGATTGCAGTTTTCCTTGCCCTTTTCTTCAGCTCAGCCTTTGAAGGCCCTGCCCTTTCATATGCCCCTTGTATAGAGCAGAGCGCCCTTTCAAGAGTATCATCGCCGTAAAACTAACCGTTAGATGTACCTACTCTTCCAACATTTAGCTCAAAATCTCGTAATACAATTCAATTCGAACACAACTTTAATTTCTGGCAAAAAATCAACTCGCGGTCGTCAAACTTTTTCAAATGTCAGAACACAATCAATTAGTCGCTAAGAAATCGGAAAACGCAAGGAAACGATTATTGATAAGTGTTTACATCGGAGGCCAGAAATATATCAGAGTCGGAAAATTCAAAGCATTCTTTTTGAAAAGAGCTTATGAATTTGTTTTACCTACTCCATATGTTTTGATAGTCTCTTGCTGGCACCATGTCCGAGATTGAAATCAATCACATCCCGAGGACCTCAGCGATGAAACAGCAAGCACAATGCAAAATGATACGTTCGTTGAAAAAAATAAGTGATAGTTTTTTAATAAGTTTCCAATTTAAAGGAAAAGAAAAGATTGCTTGACAGGCTAGATTGCATATCACTATGCCATCACTCAATGGCAAGCTTTCGGTAAAAGTGTCTCCTCTATTTTCGGAAATCTCCACTAATCTGTGGATAACTAAGATAACACACTATTAAGTCAGCCCTAGATGAAAGATGGATTTTGAACCGCAGAACTTTAGCAACCTGTGAAATGTAATCTGAGACAAAAATAGAATATACAGTGAAGACTAGTTTATAACACCAAAACCAAACCATGGTTCAGAACTTTACGCGTGCGTCAATTGGCCGAATCACAAATATTCTACTCCACTTCATTGTAAAATCTGTCCCCTATATAGGATGATTTATCAACACTCTATAAAAACAAAATCTTCAGTATTTACTCTCGTAGCACGCTTGCTTGAAATATATCTTCCAAACTGGGAGAAAATGTACATTGATGCTTACTCACCTGTACAATGAAACACGTCTTCTTTCTTACACTGCATGTTACAGCCATCGGCGTCCCGTAGGTTTCCGTCATCGCACTCTTCGCCAATACTTTTGTCAACCTTGCCGTCTCCGCAAAAGCCTTGCCCAGGCAAGTACAGCAAGGGAGGAGAAGGTGGACCTGTAAGACCTTGACTTGTTACAGCTTGGACCGTGTAGGTGTACTCCTGCCCTGGTTCCAGGTAACTGAGGAAAGAGAACAATTGTGACTGAGTGCATCATCGAAAATAAATCTCTTCAGCTGCTCGCCAGTCATTGTTTCAGTTAGTTTTACCTCATCTGCCTTTGAAAATTTATCATTTATCTATTTTACCAATGATTTGAATATTAATTTCCATGGGGCGTGGGAGAAAATAATCGTGTCTTGTTTAAACTTTCTATAGTATTATCCCCAAAATAAGTCGAGGTAACGGCGAGGAAAACGTACGAAAAGCACAGAAACCGTTTTGCTTGATGTACTTTCTTCCTGAAAGTTATGGATGCTAATGTGAGTACATTACTATGAAATCAACCTAAGGGCAACAAAGTATACACGTAGATCTGGGAAAATTTAAGAAAGAAACAATCCAACATATGATAATACGTTTGGATATAAAAACAGATATCTGTTCCAAATCAGAACTTAAAAAGAGTCACTCCTTAGAATTCGTAAGACTATAACGCTCATCTACCTCACTTATTAACAAACATTTTTATGAATGTGGGATCTATCTTCCCAGTAATGAACACTACATAAGGAGTAGTGAAAATAAGGCTTGAAAAAAATTCAGGCCTGTACTGGATTTGAAATCATGACCTCTGCGATACCGGTGGAGTGCTCTACCAACTGAGCTAACAAGCCAACTGAGAGCAGGTCATTATGTTGGTTCCAAGTAAACTCATGGGGTGATGAATAAATGACTGCAAATATATGGGAAACATATATGTGAACTGCAGATAAAGAAATGAATATATAAGTGCTCTTTGGGGTAATGAACAGTACTTAAGCAGTAGTAAAAAAATAAGGCTACTGCTTAAGTAGTGTTCATTACTGCGAAGATCGCTTCCACATTCATTTATTTATCCACAGTTCTCATTTATGTATTTCATATTTTTACAGTCATTGAAACATTTTCATGTTGGCTAGTAACGAGAATTTGTTGTTAGATCCAAACAATGTCTAATACATCTCATTACATGTATGCTTAGTCCTTTCACTCCTAAGATCTTTTCAGTAACTCTCCACAGTCTGCCATACATTGTTTTATAACTTCAGTTGCGAGAATCTAGTATTGGATCAAATAATAACCCCCATAATTATGTTTTTTGATAATCTCATCACCTGTCTGCCTGATATTGTAATGAGAAAGTATGTCTTGGTTTCATTACTGGGATGAAATGGTTAACCATTTAACTCCCAAGATCTCATCAGTAATTCTCCTTACTGTCTGCAATACAGTTCTGGTGATGTTAGTTTGGAGAATTTGGTATTGGATCACCTTATGATCCCCTTACTGATATTTTTTTTTATTCTCATCACCTGTCTGCTTGATATTGTATTGATATTGTAAGGAGAAATTCTGTCTTGGTCACTCATGGGAATTAAAGGGTTAGCAGTGTAATATTTGGAGGAGGGAGGAAAATAGACATATTAATCACTCCAAGGGGTTGAAGAATTAGGACTCATGACAAAATTAATTACCTGTCTTCAAACTGGGTGGTATCCACAGGCACTGAAGAACCTTCTGGAAAGGGTGGATCTCTAGTCACCAAGTACTTCATGGGATCACATTTGAGGCAGTTTGGATGATCAACAGACGAGGTTAGCTGAATGGCATCAATGACAGTCGATATTTCCTTCTTCAGGTAGATTCTAACATTTGAAATCTTCTTGGTTAATGAGTAGGGTGTTAAAGGAATTGTAAGGGGTGCATCACACTGTGCTGTAAAGTGCCCCAGCGACAACTTTGAACCATCCGCAAAGATTAACTGTATGTTGGTAATTCCATCCTTAGAGGAAAACAGTACCCATACAGAGAGTTTAGTTGGAATAACAGCTTCCTTGAATCCAAACTCGATAAACGTTTCCGAACACTGCGTACGGAAGGGACTCCACCCCACGACGCTCATGATGCAAGGCTTAGCTACATCTGGGGCACCAATGGCCTGATGCGGAGCCCAATATCCATTGGGACGGGAGGGACAGGGGCTCCACGCACTTACAGCATATTGCTGAAATACTTTGTCCTCGCGGCACTCATGGCAACCCTTAAGCGCATTTCCTCCTCCAGTTCCTAGCGGTGGTATCCAGGTCAGCTTGACGGTGTCCTTCGTTTTAGATGTTACGCGTGGAGGAATGGGGATGAACGAAGGTGTTGTCTTGGCGCCCTGCCATGACTGATGGATCAAATCAATGTAGCAGTGCATTCGAGCCACTTGTTGTTCTGTGAACGAATCGGTGCAGGAGCCATCTGTGTAACTCATGTAGTTTGAAAAAGGAGTGTCCACGAACTTCCTGACTCCGCACGTCCTTTCCGATTCATTAACAACGGGATCTCGACACTGGTTGTTAGCTGGGGTGGGGTTAGTGTCAGAGCATAAATCACCCAACTCGAGTGAAGGGAAAGTCTCTGCACAATCATCTGTGCAATCTAAATCAGTCACCCCGTAATGTACATGCCACAAGCCTAACATGTGACCAAACTCGTGAACAAGGGCATCCAGATGCTGTTTGCGACCGAAATTCTTCAGGCCCAGAATGGTACCACCATATATACTATGCACGGATTTGTCCCAAGGAAAAGTGGCCAGGCCTTGTAAGTCGTCATTACTCCACTGAGCCAGGTAAACGTTCAAGTAATCTTGATTGTCTAGATTGACCAGAGTCTTGTACTCTCTCTCGCTCATGTACGCTCTGTTTGGAGAACTAGGATCGAAGCAAGTTTTATAAATGTCTGTTACACTCTCGTTACAACAATCACCATCATCCCATGCGTTGTAGAATTTGTTGCATTCTAAGTCGCAAATGCCATTCCCGCGCTTTTTGGCGTCACATCTGAATTTTGGATCATCACAGTCGCCGCCGTCATTTCCCGTAATTTCGTAATTGCAATGCTGTTTATTGCAGCGCGAATCGCCGATCTTTTCGCGTTCACACTGGTATGTCACCGTGCGCCGTCGTAAGGAGGTGTTTCGGATGTTCCGTTCGCTAAGTTGAAATGTGATGTTGTACCGCTTGAAAGCTCGGTTTAGATGAGCGTGCTGCGCTTTCAACTGTTTCTTGGTCACCATAGGATTGGTGCCGTCATCTTCCATTATATTAACAACTCGATATCGCACAACCTTTTTTCCTCGCAGGTGCTTATTTTTCACATAACTGCGGGTAATCTCAGGATTGTCACATACTGTTACACCACACGGGGGTTTAACGATCGAAAAATCGTTGGCATCGCCTGGGATAGTTGACTGCAAAATGTCCGGTTTTCCAAGAACAGTCACCCATCTGGTCTTTGGATTGCGATTGAGTTTTTCCTTTTCGGCGAAACTTTCGTACATTGCAAGATTAAGATCATCAAGATATGGTTCTTTATCTCTAATCGGGGCAAAAACATTCTTGATGATTTCCTTGTGTGATTTCGCAACTGACCACAGTCGAACCTCATCGATCAAACCGCGATAAAACATTCCGGTTGAGTGATCGCCCCCCGCCTCTAAGTGCTCACAGGGGTAAGAGTCGAAGCCGTCGGCGAAAATGTGTCCGCTTTGTTCCGAAGACACTCCAACTTTGGCTTGATTTACGTACAATTTCATTTTCTTTCCATTAAATGTTGCTGCAACATGAAGCCATACGTTTGGTTCCACGCTGCGCGGAGAAAGCAGTTTCGTGTCGTTATCTGATCTTTGCGTTCGTAGTCTAAAAAAAACTCTCAGGCTTCGCTCAGTACTTGCCTCTTCCAGGCCTATCGCCCAACCACCGTCTTTTTTGTCCGGCGAACAGTCATCAAACAGACCGAGGACTGTCACCGGCGATACCTGGCCACCTTCGGGTCTCATCCAAAAGTCTACTGTGAACTGATGCGATGGTATTTTGACGGTTCCTGTAAATCGCACTACTGCGTCATCAAGTAAACTCAGAGCATTTCCAAATTGCGACCCCGTTGGCGGAGATTGTGGAAACCGTGCGTGATCATGGCGTTTAACACGTCGCTTTGAAGCGCAGTCAGAGCGATGCTTGTCCTCTTCGGCCTCAGCAGCTTTCATGGCATTTAAAATGACGCTATTTCCATGTACCATCTCTATTTTCATTACAAAGTGTAATAAGAACACCAGCGACGTAAGAAGTAGAATCTTATTGCCGCGATCTCCCATTTTCAGCGCGTTGTCAAACAAATCTTCTTCGCTCCAAGCGTTGTCTTTTCCTCCCTGTACGTCACCGGTGAATAATCCTTCGAGATTACAGCACACGACCTTTATGCCCTGTATCTTTCTCCTAAGGCGATAAAGTAAACAGATAGATATTGTTTCTGCTGATTGTAAATCAGGCTATTTGTCAGCCGATCATGACACAAATGATCCTCTGCGGTGAGCTTAATTAATACTTGCGCGCGTAAAGTGCGTAGCTAAACGTGTCCACAGCGAAAGTTAAACGCGCTACAAATGAAACTAAACCACTCTCGATCGCTGAAACAGGCCGAAATTTCGGCTTCACACGTAAGGGTATTTTGATTGACATGGGGTTAACCCCAGGAAACGGAAATCGCTCACGTAGTCCATATCGCAAGCTCTCAGGGTGCGGTGTACTTTTCGCATTATTGTTTGCCAATGAAAATGTGTTATGCAAATAATTTATTTGCTGAGGCTCGCCTTCAAAAGAATTACCTATTGTTCAGCGACACTTCCAGTGACAGCGCTTGCATGGGCTACCAGTTCTGCGCTATCGGTTTTGAGCACAGACGGATTTAAATCACTTGACTTATTTCATATGAAGAAAGAGGATTAGGTCTAGACAATAACTTATCTTTACATATCTGAGAAGGTCGATTTTTCTGACAGTGTATACCCAGTACAAGTGAAAGGGTCACTTCGATCAGAATCTTTATCATCCATTTTCAGCATTACCAACGTTAGTTCGAATGTAAGTTGTTATGAAAAAAACCGAGATGTATATGTGAAGACAAGATTAGAAACGCAGCTTAATAGAGACGCAAACAGTAAGCATCCAGGGCGGTCAAATACAAAGGACATGATCCGAAGATAATTAGCTAATTACAAGATGATAAAATTTGACAAATGTGGTTTACCTGGACCCACCAGAGTTTTTTGTCGTAACTTGCGAAAAACATTAGCTCACCTTTACTACAAAAGGCAACTGTCATGCTTTTAGAGAGTAAAGCACACACCGCTAAGGGACTGGTGATCCAAAACAGTTCATTCTTTCATCGCTTTTAAACACGAAGATATCGAAATAACAAGGTTAATGGACAGGAGTTTTCAAGCAACAAAAAGAACTTAAAAAAGATATACAAATATAAGTCATTTTTGGTATCGTTGTCACCAATGCCAAGGTGACTATGATTTTCTAGGTGTAAAAAGAATCCTTCCTCTCGCAGATTAGAACTTCAGTGAACTCGCGACCTTGTGGCTAAGACAATTTACGGCTTCGGCTTTCGCAGTTTCCTGTAAATCTTAACCAAAGAGAAGGGTAATGAAAGATCGGGAATAACAAGATTTACTATCACTTTAAAAGCCTGACATTCTAAATATTCCCCTGGTTTCTTAAACGAGACAAAGTTATCTAATTAACGCGTGATATAGTTATTTCGCGTGACAGGAAGTCCCTTGAGGCCAAACCGCGTGACTGGATCTAACCTGGAACTTTAGCGAAGCACTCCGGTGAAAGAACAACTACCCGAGAAAATTGTATACGACGCGTTTGTTTTTGCAACAACTTCCCCCTGACTGTGGCGTGAACTATAAATAAACCACCAGGGAGGTAACTCGAGTCAAAATCCTCACCTTCGGAGAACACTCCTAGAAATCACGTGTCGAGGTTAGCTATGCCAAACGAAAATAAATAGACGTGATGTCGGAAAAAGTAAATAAATGAAAAGAGGAACACGAACGTCAAAACCAGAATGGCGGAAAAAAGTGTTAGTTGCATTCCACTGGAGTCCAAAAGTGGATGATTCACGGTTACGTAATGCTTAGATACATAAGACTTGGCGACATTTTTCTTCTCATCTAAGGAAAAATAAATACTAGCGACGAAAACAAGCAGCTTAAACCACAAAGATACAAGTTCAAGTGCTTTTGGTTTGGGGGGTATTTTGCCTTTTTAACCAAAGTTTCTTCTAGAGATTACCGATAGCATTAGCTGTCACGTAGGAAGAGGAGAAAGAGAATTGAAGTGCTTTATCATCACTCTAAGCGTCACTCTCAGTCTCGTGGAGGAATCAACCACTTTGTGACCCTCAGTAATCCTGTTCACGGGATCTGAGGACCGTTTTCCAAACTCAACTAAATTTTCGCTTGTTGTCATTCATAACGAACTTTGAACCATTTTAAATTCCATTTGCAGGACTGAGTTTGTTTGTATCTTATTACCAGAGCCTTCTACAGCTTCTTTATGAAAAGAAAAAGTCAAAATTGAGCTTTAAATAAAGTGGCCTACAATGGCCTCTACCGGGGCACTCACTGGGTACCTAGCCCACTTTCCTGTTTCAAATGCGACACACGTGATACATACTGCAGGGATCAGGGATGTCGAAAGCGCTCTGTTTGGAAACGGATTATAAATGATGTCCAAGGTATTCAATTTTAAGCACGGTCTGACAAATAAATAATATATGTGAACCATTTTTGAATGCAGTAAATTGAATTCAAATCCACCGTGAAGATTTGTCGGACCCCAGCCACAAATAAAGTTTGTCAGTCTCTATAGACTGATTTATATTGTCGTAGTGACTTGTTTTTGTATACATATTAAACAACTATATTCTCAATTAGCTATGTGATCTGATATTTTGAGTAATTGTGCTAATTTGCGTCAATATTTTATCCTTCTACACAGCAATTTAACCAGCCTTCACTTCTAGAAAAAGGTTCAAGTACTATTCTAAACTTTTAGTGAGAATCAAGAGAAGATAGTTAACCTTGACAAATAGAATAACTTTACAAAACCTTGTACTTGGTTGGTTCTTTTCCTGCCCTCCTCTGTTCGCTCCGCGCGTCGACCCCGAAATTCTTTCGTCCTGGTGAAACCTCCGTTAATAAAAGAGAGGAGTAACACCCTTGAGCTTTTCGGCTTACGTCAGCGAAAGGGTCAAATATCTTTTCTTTTTAGTTATATCAGGGGTAGGGTTAAGATTACGCCAGAGATTATACATCTCAGTTCAAAAGATGATAAATTTGCTGTTAAACCAAAAACTGCAACTGTTCAAACGTCATGAAATACTTTGTTTAATAAAAGAAATTCACTCATCTCCAATCAGTCATTTTCCTCTTTGGCTGATTCTGACCTTTTCGTGTTTTTCCCTGTTTACTGGATGATCACGTGGGCCACCCGACACGGATGAGTGGGGATGTATTTAGGCTTCTCGAAGGATTCACTCACACAAAAACATATCTGCTCTTCGATTCAATGATAACATATCACTCGGCAATGAATTTATTTCGATATGAGTGTCAATCATCTCAAAGTCGTTACATGTGTTTGGACATGAGCTTGAATGACTGGGTAGAATACATCAAATTGAGGTTCACTGGTTAACTTTTAGCATGAATAGCACGAATGCAAACAAGACCTGCGTTCGTGGTTTGATCAGTTTCTGAGAGGCTTTCCACGATTCTAACAAGTGCTCATCAGGAACGTTTTTTATTGTTGGGGGAAGGGAACGGGTGGTAGGGGCTAGCAGGATTTTGCGTGCCTAGTTTGTCACTTCACGTATCACTTAATATGTCAAGAAGTTTACAGATTTGCCTCGAAATGGTGTACTCGACCCAGTTTCTTCGCAACCATCCAAAGATTCGAGCGTGGGCTATTTCTATATGGTTACAGTCAGCCATCGAAAAATACCAGTTCATGTGCGCTGTATCATTGAGAGCTCTCGTCTCCCTTAACGCACGTCGAAAAAGTTGGCACACATTTTCTTCGTTCATCAGTATGAATCGGTGTTAATCCTCCTTATCTTGAACCATTCTTATTCCCCTATGTCTCGCTGGTTTAATTAAGTTCACAAAAGCGACGACTTCAACAACCCCCCAAAAAAAAAAAAAACAACAACAACAACAACAACAACAACTCAGAGCGCGTTATGACTTGCCTCTTTCGAAATAAAAAATTTTGGCCGATAAAATCACTGATTGGCTTATCTTGCGATAAGGCTGGTTTTCTCATCCGTGATATATCAATCCCTTTTTATTTTCGCATAGAATATCGTTTCCTGGATTGCCGAAAATCTGCCGAAAAGGGCGTGATTGTTTGGAGAAAGATAAATCGTGTAGACATTAAACTATTACTTTATCCCAGAGTGTTTTCTAGACATCAATGTTACCTCATGCTGAGAAGATTTTTAATTTACGAGAATAAAAACAAATGAAATTTCCAAGCATCCGGCTTAATTCCACATAATTGTGAATGATACGGAAACCAATGCATCTATCATTTTCTAGAGGCCTGATTTAATGCTGGGAGATATGCTCCACAGGGGGCTGGAAGATACAACTTTATATAAAGTATTTTGAAAGGACAAATTACGCTATTACACGGAAAAACCATCGCACTTTAGCTGTCGTATCGTGTGCCAAAATTATCTTGTTGATTTTCGTTGACGTTTACATGAGAAGATATGTAGACTAATACAAAAGCTAAAGATCTTAACACAGCTATTTTTAGCTTATCGAATAAAATCCCTCACCTTTTTTTTTTTAACTTTTTTTTACATGTTCTCATCAACATCAAAAGATTAAGAAAACTCTGATCTTACAAAACCAAAGCGAAAAACGCCATATTTTAGAATTTTAGTACAGTATACCAGATCCTTTTGAAGATATCAAGAACACGACGTTTTCAAGAATGTATGGAATTCATCAAATTTTGATAGGCTTTACGTCACTAGATAATGTTTGCTAAAAGCTAATTATTGGACAGATTACACAAGAAAATCAGCTTTCCCGCGTTGGGATTCGTTTCGGGAAAAATTTTCCAGAGGCATGCATGGAAAAACAGATGAGAACGAGATGGAAATTCACCTACTGGTTTTACAATGAACACTGCAGAGTTAAGATTTGAAAAGACTTTTCCGTTCACCCTTAAAATCAATTCTCTGAGCCTGATGAATGTCATATTTCAGACTGAATAAACTCCATAT